TAACCAGAAGAGATCATACCATTTCATAATAAAATCTTACATTGCTTCTTAAGATTATTTATACTGCATCTAGATTTAAAATACCATATGGCATCTCTTTGTTGGGACAGAGATGTAAACATTAAAGTTGAGCTGATATGGTCATCACTAGCCACATGTGACTATTTTAAGTTAATTAAAATTAAAGGGGCCAGGTGCTGTGGCATAGCAGGTAAAGCCACCGCCTGCAGTGCCTGCATCCCATATGGGTGCTGGTTCAAGTCCCAGCCGCTCCACTTCAATCCAGCTCTCTGCTATGGCCTGAGAAAGCAGTAGAAGATGGCCCAAGTACTTGGGCCCCTGCACCCACATGGGAAACCCAGAAAAAGCTCCTGGCTCCTGGCTCCTGGCTTTGGATCAGCACAGCTCTGGCTGTTGCGGCCAACTGGGGAGTGAACTAGAAGACAGAAGATCTCTTTTTTCAACTGTGTAGTATTCTATAGAGTACATATCCCATAACAAAATGGAGGAATCTGGAAAACATCATGCTGAGTGAAATAAGCCAGTCCCAAAGGGACTAATATCATATGTTCTCCCTGATCTGTGACAACTAACTGAGCACCTAAAAGAAAATCTGTTGAAGTGAAACTGACACTATGAGAAACAATGACTTGATCAGCCCTTGTCCTGACTGTCAAGAAACAGCTTACTATTTTATTCTTTTGAGTATTTTCTTTTTCTGCTTAATACCACTGGTTGAACTCTTTAACACACAATTATTCTTAGGAGTTTAAATCCAACTGAAAATTGATCCCTGTTAAAAATAAGAGTGGGAATAAGAGGAAGAGGAGATGTACAGTTCGGCACACACTCACTCGGACATACCCCTAAGAGTAAAGCTAGAAATATGCCATGGGACTCCAAATCCCATTAAGTTGGCAGGTACCAATGCCATCTTACTAGTTAAAGTGATCAGTTTAAGTTCATAATTGATCATAAAGATAGGTTTAAGTGTCAAAGAGATCGCATAAATAAGACCAGTGTCTGCTAATAATAATTGATAGAATAAAAAGGAGAGAACGAGCCAACATGGGAAGTGGGATACACAGCAGACTCATAGAATGGCAAATGCCCTAAATAGCACTCTGGCCTCAGAATGAGCCCTTCAGGCATTCAGATCTGGCTAAAAAGCCCATGAGAGTTTCCTCAGGCATGGAAATCCAAGACATTGTGGCAAAAAATGACCTAAATGAAAGATCTCTGTGAGTGAGATCCCAGTGGAAAGAACAGGTCATCAAAGAAGGAGGTACCTTTCTCTGAAGGGAGAAGAAAACTTCCACTTTGATTATGATAAGGTCGGAGTTTGTGAACTCAGGAGGCTTCCATAGCTTTGGCAGCTCATGACAAGAGCCTTGGGTGATTACTGACGTCATAAACAAGAGTGTCAAATTGTTAAGTCAACAATAGGAGTCACTGTGTACTTACTCCTCATGTAGGATCTCTGTCCTTAATGTGTTGTACTATGAGAATTAATAGTAAAATTAGTCTTCAAACAGGACTTTATACTTTGTGTGTCTTTGTGGGTGCAAACTGTTGAAATCTTTACTTAGTATATACTAAATTGATCTTCTGTATATAAAGATAATTAAGAATGAATCTTAAGAATAGAATGGTAGAGGGAGTAGGAGATGGGATGGTTGCAGGTGGGAGGGTGGTTATGGGGGGAAAGCTGCTATAATCCAAAAGTTGAACTCTTGAAATTTATATTAATTAAATAAAAATTTTCTAAAAAAAAAGACTTCTTTCTCTCTCTCTGCCTCTCCTTCTCTCTCTGTGTAAGTCTGACTTTCAAATAAATAAATCTTTAAAAAAATTAAATAAAGGTAAAATTCTAGTTCTAGAATTACACTGGCACATTAAACTACACAATGGCTACATGTGGCTACTGGGTATTGTATGGAATTTCACATATCAAGGACATTTCTGTCATCAAGAAATTTCTGTAAGATAGCAATACATTATGGCCATGCCTTTACAGAACCATTTTCCAAGTATGTCTTAAGTGATAATGGATTGAGCGTCTTGTTCTAAATGATAAACTGAATACATGAGAACCCTCATCAAATCCAAGACCCTACTGACATTAAACTACAGAAATCCAAATATATATAAATGAATGGCAGCAAAGCAAAGGAAGTGAGGGGCACAAACAACAGAGAAAATTCAAGAAATTTATGAAAAAACAAAATACAAGGGAGCAAGATGATAAGGAGGAAAATGCAAACAAAGCTACCTAAAGATAGGCTTTTAAGGATTCTGGAGGGGGCAGTGGTGAATTATGTGATAGAATTCCTGAGAAGTTCTAGAGCTGGGGAGTGGATACTGAATACAAGAGATTAAATAAAGATTTTTTTTTTTTTTTTTTTGGACAGGCAGAATGGACAGAGAGAGAGAGACAGAGAGAAAGGTCTTCCTTTGCCGTTGGTTCACCCTCCAATGGCCACCGCGGCCGGCGCACCGCACTGATCCAAAAGCAGGAGCCAGGTACTCATCCTGGTCTCCCATGCGGATGCAGGGCCCAAGCACTTGGGCCATCCTCCACTGCCTTCCCGGGCCACAGCAGAGAGCTGGCCTGGAAGAGGGGCAACCGGGACAGAATCCAGCGCCCCGACCGGGACTAGAACCCGGTGTGCCGGTGCCACAAGGCGGAGGATTAGCCTAATGAGCCACGGCACCGGCCTTGAATAAGGATCTTTCTATAAAACAATTGTGCCAGTCAGCACTATTGCCTACTGTTCACCTCTTGTGGTGACAACTGGACAGCTTGGAAATCACCTCTCAATAGGACAGTAGCATGGTCCTTTCTAAAGAAACACATGGATGACTGAGACAACATGTGGGTGGAAGCATTTATATAATATGACATGATGTTGACCTCATTTTGACACATGAGGAGCTCATAGACCAGTAGCTTGTTAGTTGATATTTTTTGCCTTCTCCCACATGCAGATCCAAGAAAGAAATTTCCACTCCAGGCAAAGATTTGGCAAGAATGAAATTGATTTACAAAACAATTGAGGAATCCCATAGCAGCTCCTCAATCTTTCTTTTTTAAAATATAAATGAAAATTGTAGCATCACAAGGCATATCAGAAAGACCAAAATGTAGAAGACCAAGATAAATCTGTAGAAAAGCTAATCTCAGAGGAAAGGGGCAAAAGAAAAAGAACTTAAAACAGCCCAAGACAGAGAAGTTGACAATACATTATATCTACATAAGAAGAGTCCCTCCTGAAAACAAAACCCTAATACAAGAAACAGCTCCCTGCGACTAAATATATGATTTCTAATCCTTTTTTTTTTTTTGGACAGGCAGTGTTTGTGAGAGAGAGAGAGAGAGAGAGAAAGGTCTTCCTTCCGTTGGTTCACCCCATAAATGGCCGCTATAGCTGGTGTGCTGTGCAGATCTGAAGCCAGGAGCCAGGTGCTTCCTCCTGGTCTCCCATGTGGGTGCAGGGCCCAAGCACTTGGGCCATCCTCCGCTGTCCTCCCGGACCACAGCAGAGAGCTGGACTGGAAGAGGAACAACTGGGACAGAATCCGGCGCCCCAACCGGGACTAGAACCCGGGGTGCCGGCACCGCAGGCGGAGGGATAGCAAAGTGAGCCACGGCGCCAGCCTCTAATTTCTTTTCTAAAGTAAAATGGAGTATAAAAAAGCTCTCAAAGTTTAAAAATATGACTTCTGATATTAAAAATGAAATGGTTGAACAGTAATTGTTGACTTTCCTTAAAATGTAGAACAATGGTAAGCAAAAAAAAAAAAAAATTGAGTAAAACACATGAAGACAACTTTAAAATGTCAATATTCACCTGTCAGTGAATTTCAGATAGAAAACTAAGAAAGATTCAGGAAGGAAGTTACTAAAGACAGAATGTTTTTGAATGCTGGTAAATAAGTCATTTACCTGAGAAAACAAATCACAATTTATTACATTTGTTATGAAATTTTAGAAGAATTGTCTATTATAAAGAAAGAAAACAGGGACTAACATTGTGGCATAGCAGGTAAAGACACCGCCTGCAATATTGGCATCCCATATGGGCACTGGTTCATGTCTAGTCTGCTCCACTTCTGATCCAGCTCCCTGCTAATGGTCTAGGAAAGCAGCTGAAGATGGCCCTAGTGCTTGGATCCCTGGTACCCATGTAGGAGACCTGAAAGAAGGTCCTGAGTCCTGGCTTTGGTCTGGCCCAAATAAGTGTCTCAGCTGCTCCTCTTCTAATCCAGGTGGATTCTTGAAAACTAGTATCAATATTATTAGTCAATTCTGGTTGTCATAATAAAATATCACACATATACTGAGTGGCTTAAGAAACGAACTTATTTTTTCAGTTATTAAGTCATTATTAAAATATTTGCTTTCTCTGTATGTTTGCATAATCTCTTCTTTAATGAGAGACAGAGAGGGAGAAAGAGGGAAGCTGTGTGGTGGTGTCTCTTCTTTATGAGGGCTTGAGTCCCATTTTCAGGGCTATACCCTCATGAACTTATCTAATGCTAATAACCTTCCATACACATCACTTCCAGATTTCATCATTTTGGGGATTATGGTGTTAACGTATGAATTTTGGCAGGACACAAACATTCAGTCCATAATATACAGGTTTAACATTTTTTCATATAATCCATAATTTTAGAAGAAAAATATTATTGGAATAAGCATTTGATGTAGTGGTTAAGATATCACTTGGAATCTTGTATCCCGTATCAGAGTGACTAGGTTCAAGTCCCAGCTGTGATTTCAGCTTCCTGCTAAAATATACCTGGGGAGGAAACAGGTGATGGCTCAAGTACTTGGGTCCCTGCCACCCATGAGGGAGAACTTAATTGAGTTCCTACCTACCAACATTTATCCCAGTAGGGGGTCTGCCTCCTTTGGCCTGGGATGTGGCAACCTCTACACCCAAACCTTTGTTAAGTTACAATTTTCACAAGATTTGTTGTCTTGCTATTTCTAGGTGACGATGCCAAAGAGGCAGTTAAACATGGTTTGGATGGGATCTTGGTGTCCAATCATGGAGCTCGACAACTGGATGGGGTACCTGCCACTGTAAGTTCTGCACATTCTGGGATTTCTCTTCAGAGTTACCATTTCTATCAGAATGTTGACTTTCTATTGTCTGCCTCATCTTTCTGTGTTTCTGTGCATTTAATCACTCAAGGTGAAAATACATGTAAATGTATGAGATCAAGGATCTTAAATTTTGTGACACATTTCTACATAAATTGTTAATAACATTTAATTTTAACTACTCCTGATGTATTTGTTTGTAAACTTATAAGAGTTCCTGTTAAGTAATAAGACTTATGAGGATGGGGATTGTTCTTGTAATCATAGACACATCAATAAGTAAAATGTAAATAGAAGTTACAAAAGATTATGCCATGAGAGTGCAAAACAATTAACAGAAAATTGAATTAAAAATCTTTGGTAGAGTTTGAGATCAGCAGTAAATATAATTGTGACAAGAAGCTAGAAAGGGAGACAGATTGGAATTTATTGAGGTGATACTGATTGAACAACTGCAGAGAGAGAGTGGGTGGTTGGGAAAGAAGACAGAAGTTCTGGGGTCCAGATTAGGTGAAGCTGGGTGTAAACTGGTGACATGTTGAGTTTGAGATACCTTTGCTGCACATTGGAATCACCTGAGAAAATTTAAAGACTCCCAATTCCAGGGCTGTACCTGAGATCAATTAAGCAGAGTCTCTAGAAGAGAGCATAAGCACCAGTATTTTTAAAAGCTACCCAGGAGATTCCAACATGTGTCTGTGGTTTTTATGCATTGTATAGTGTTCTAGGCAAGTAAGACTCCAGAATCTAAATATAAAAGTAAACTGAACTGGCCTGAAAGGTACAGGACTGAGTTATAACTACAGCAGTGAGCAATTAGCTCAAGTTGATCCAAAGATAAGAAAATCGGTAGAGGCTTTGGGAAGGATTGAAAGTTCAAGGATTGGAGTTCCAGAAAGGGATCAAAAGACATGGAGACAGACACACAATCTTGTATGGACTTCATGGATCCATGATCCAGCAGGGTCATCAAAAGTTAAAAATAGGCATTAAAGAGTGGTTCCCTTACATGTAGGGACTTTGCCAAGATTCTTACAGTCGAGACATTGAGGTTGCAGTTGCTTTTCACTCCTGCTCTGTCCCATGTGGAAATCTGCTCTTACAGTTGTGGGACCAAATGTGGAATGGGAATGAGTGAGATGTATTGAGGGGAATACCAAATAATCTCTTCTGCTTGACATATCTGGTAGGAGTGGGAGTTCTGGGAAATATACTTGCTTGGATGGATGAGGAAGGAGGTTCTTGAATATTATAAGTGATAGGATTTGCAACATCAATAAGGCATTGAAGCACTGTTTTAGCAGCAGTAAATTTTTGTTTATTTGTTTGTTTTTAGTGACAATGAGAAGGAAAGACACACAAAGAGAGATCTTCCTTGTGCTGATTCACTTCCCAAACTGCCACCATGGTTGGGGCTGGGTCAGGCCAAAGCCAGGAGCCAGGAATACCACACAGGTCTTCTATGTTGGTGTCAGGGGCCCAAGTACTTTGGCTACCATCCACTGCCTTCCCAGGTGCAGAAGCAGGGAGCTGGATTGGTAGCAGAGCACTCTGGACTCAAACTAGCACTCCAATTTAGGATATTGGGTTCACAAGTGGCAGCTTAACCCACCCTGCCACAATGCCGGTCTCCATCAATGAGTTTTATAAATTGGATTTTGGTGGAAGACCAATTAGATGGCCTTGATAATTATAACCCAGAAAGAAACAGGAGAAACTGATCTGCAGAGAGTCCAAGGGAATTAATTTCTGCTCCAAACCTTAGTTTCATCATCAATTAGGTAATTTCCATGTTTTGTTTAAACTGTAATGCTTCATAATTTGATTGTCATAGGCTAAGTAAGCTAGTATCATATAAAAAAAAACCCTGAAAATGTTATTTACTAAACAATATTGATGGACTTCAAGACCACCATCTTTCTGTGAACTAGGCCATAATATACTCATTCATATTCCTGTTTATTCATCTTTAAAAAATGTTTTAGCCATCGATTTGAGAGAAATAGAGGGAGAGACAGAGATGAAGAAAGCAAGTGATTGCTCCTATCTGTTGGTTCACTGCTTTAATGCTTAAGATGGCTGGGGCTGGGCCCAGGCTAAAGCTGGGGGCTGAGAGGCACAGGCCCAATCTATCTGTCCCCAACCATCACTACTTCCTCCCAAGTTGCACATTAGCAGAAAACTGCAGTCTGTAACTGGAGTTGGATATTGAACCCAGGTACTCTGATATGGGATGCAGACATCAACTGCTAGGAGAAACTCCCAACTCACATTGTCCCTCTATCAGAACCATTCAATCATATTTTTATAACAGATGCAGTAATTGGGATGACCAGTTGAATTCATTCAGTGAACTGCAATCAAGTTGAACAACTAACTTGGCCTAGTACTATTATATTATGTTTCACTGAACCAGCAGCTTGATTTAGCTAAATCCACAAAGCAGTGGCGTGGGGCTCCTGGTGGAGTAATGATGGTAGGGGACATTGGCTGTGCTATTAACTCAATTTTTCCTAAAATGCTAATGGTGGGAACCAACCTCATTTTTGTATGTTGTAGGATTGCACTGATTTCAAATAATAAAACTTAAAGATATCTTAAAGATAAACTTAGAGTTGGTCACAGATTAAGGCTTTTTTCTTTGTTTTTGTCTTTTTTTTTTCCCCCCAGATTTATGTTTCACTTGTGTATGAAGACATAGACTTGGTGTGCAGGCCAAATTAAATTTCTAAAAATAAAATATAAATCTACCAAAGTCAAATCTAACTAGGTTTTAAGGGGAAAATCTCTAAATGGTATGGTTTATTTCCCTCTGGCTGAGAGGATATGGAAACTTATCTAAAAGGACTTTTTGAGTTGTAATCTCTGACTGTTTGAAAAACACAATGACACTCCCCTTTGTATGTTGTATGCCTTAGAGGAGATGTTGCTTGAATTTTGCCTCATGCTATACAACAACTTAAACGTACATGATGATGAGAGAAATGTAAGAAAGGGTTCAGTTTATGTTGAAGGGTGTCTTCCTCAGTGTGTGGGTTTTGAGGTGAGCAGCAAATGGCTTGAAAGAGGTTATGATGTTAACCTTGTTGGTTGAGGCACAAGAAGACTCATTGTCCTGAAGTTTCAGTTATGTCATGAGTCAGAGACACAGAGGTAGTGTGATGTCATGGGGAGAGCTCTGAAAAGGGAGTGCTTGGGCTTCATTCTTTGTTTTGCTTCTCTAAAGGAGTGAGGGAAGAGGGAAAGCAGGTCCCTGAGACTTTTAATTATGGGCCTCTTCAGAGTATTGGGTTGGTTGCAACACTAATGTGATTGGATTATTATTTTTTTTAAGATTTATTTAATTTATTTGAAAGAGTTACAGAGAGAGGTCGGCGCCGCGGCTCACTAGGCTAATCCTCTGCCTTGCGGCGCTGGCACAACGGGTTCTAGTCCCAGTCGGGCGCCGGATTCTGTCCCGGTTGCCCCTCTTCCAGGCCAGCTCTCTGCTGTGGCCAGGCAGTGCAGTGGAGTATGGCCCAGGTGCTTGGGCCCTGCACCCGCATGGGAGACCAGGAGAAGCACCTGGCTCTTGGCTTCGGATCAGCGCGATGTGCCGGCTGCAGCGGCCATTGGGGGGTCAACCAATGGCAAAAGGAAGACCTTTCTCTCTGTCTCTCTCTCTCTCACTGTCAAAAAAAAAAAAAAAAGAGTTACAGAGAGAGGTAAAGACACACACACACACACACACACACAGAGGGAGAGAGAGTCTTCCATCTGCTGGTTCACTCCCCACATGGCCACAGGCTGGCCCCATCTGAAGCCAGGACCTAGGAGCTTCTTCCAGGTCTCCCAAGTGTATACAGGGGTCCAAGCACTTGAACAATATTCCATTGCTTTCTCAGGCACATTAGCAGGGAGCTGGATCAGAAGTAGATTAGCTGGACTTAAACTTGCACCCATATGGGATTCTGGCACTGCAGGCTAGGGCTTTAACCCACTGCACCACCATCCCCTGTGGGTTGGATTATATAATTTCAGCATTTCCATAAAGCACAGATTTCCCTTGCATGGAGAAATACTTATCCCTAAGAATTATAGAACTGGGATTTAACTTCAGTTCATCTTGGGGTGAGCATTGCAGTACAGGGGTTAAGCCTGTATCCCATGTTAGGGTGTCTGGGTCTCAGTTCTGGCTTTACTTCTGATTCCAGCTTCCTGCTAATGTGCATCTTGGGAGTCAGTACAAGTGCTTGGTTCCCCACCAGCCACACGGGAGGCCTGTGTCGAGTTCTGAGCTCCAGCTTTGGCCTGTCCCAGCCTTGGCTGTTGCAAGCATTTGGGGATTGAACCAGTGGATTGAAGGTCTCTATCTCTGTCTCTGTGCCACTCTGCCTTTCAAATAAATACAAATAAATACATAAATGCCTTTAAGAGAAAAACAAAAGTTCAGTTCATCTTTATCTATTGCTTATGAGAATGGCTGCCAGGCCCCTGCTACAATCCAGAGGAATTAAAAAAAATATATAACTCAAAGCCCTTATCCTCTGTTAGTAATGTGACACAGATTGGTCTTTAAATAATTAAAAAATTAATATGAAGATACTTCAGAAAGGTTTGTGGAAATGGAATTAAAAGCTCAGTTTATTTTGGTGCAAAAAATTGGAAATCTATTGTAATATTTTCATAATACACAATTCCATGAACTTTTTGAAAACCCCGCATATACATGGATTTCAAAATTTTTGCACCAAAATAAGCTTACTTTTAACTCCATTTCCATTAATTTTTTGATGTCTCCTTATAGAATTACATTGATTTCGAAAATCCATAGCACTAGAGTTTTTCAAACTGGGATCTGAAGACAGACTCTCTGGAGTATTCAAATCCTAAGAGCATTTGTTGGTCAATTTTGCATTTTTATTTTGAAGCTAACTGAACACAGATTACTCACACTTAAAAATATATTTCTCTTTCAGAAAATTCTCAACTGCAAAACTGAAACAAGTATTTGGGTTGGTAAGGCAGTGTTTCTCAACTTGAGTCCTTGAGCATGTTTTGTGAGATCTGAGGGATTTTATTTTTTTCTTTTAAAAAGTGGTCTATTCAATTCCATCTTTGAGAAACAGCCGATTATCATTGGCTTTTGCTGTGCAGCAGAACACTCAGAAACTTACTGACTAAAAATTGATAGCCATTTACTGATTTCACAGTTTTGTAGATGAGATCTGCTGAGGAAAGGGGAATTCTGGCCTTGGGTGGGCTCACTCATATCTGTGTGAGGTCAGTCATTGGGCCTTCAAGGATAGGTGGGGGCAGGAAGTCTCAGCAGGGACAGCCCTGTGTCATCTAACATCATCCAGCATTTGAAGTTAGATAGGTTTATTCTCAGGAGGTCACAGATCTCCTTGGGAGCAACTGGAAGCATCCAAAGCCTCTTGAGATCTAGGCCTCTCACACAATCTATTGTGAAAGCAAATTAGAGGCCAGCTCAGCTTCCAGAGATCCAGAAACAGAACTCTTGCCACCCAAGATGTTGCAAGGAAATGAAGGTAGAGAGGAAATTATTGCAGCCACTTTTGCAATTGCAAATAATCACCTAAATGTCTAGGAACCAATGATTTTCTAAGTGTGTTTCATAGAAACTTTCCGGGGCTGTCTGGGGAAGTGTGATGGATGGGGTGGGGAAGAACATCAGGGGAGGATTTACGGTCAGTGCCTTGGCTCTGATTCCTTCTAATTTTAATTAAAGCAGCTGTGGTTCTATCTGAATTTCTTTATGTTCAATTGCTTTGGGTTGAGCAAAGGGTTTTATATCTGAAATGTCAGAAACCAAGGAAATAGCAGTAGGCTCAAAAGAGAGGGGAAAAGATGAGAAGATTTGGGGAACAATGAGCAGTGAAGAATGTGACTTGAACAGGAATAGGAAAGAAGATTGTCTTTGTGAGTCAGATCCCTGTGTGCTATGAGATACTTTCATAGTTCTCAACCACGTGCTTGGCAAATCAGTGAAGAGAAGGATGAGCGAACAACAGTAGATATGGATCCTACCTTATTTTCCTAGAGATTAACTCTAGTGGAGTTAATCCCACACTTGGTTGTCTAAAGAAGTGGTAAGGAAAGAACAGCTAAAATGAATGTTCTCGGAGATGTGTAGCATCCATACCATGGGTTTCTTTGGTGTGTTCTGTCCAGTATTATTTTCTGTAATGCACATTTCATAAAACTGCAACTATTGAAAGAATAGAGGCGGCTAGAGTGTTCAATGGATAGAACATTCTCATTCAGAGACCCATGAAAAGCCAATCTGGGCTGTTTAAAATCCAAGATTCACATTTTAAGTATCCTTATTAGTCTACCTTTAGGCCAGATTAGGTTTTGGAAATAACCTCAACCTGCTTGATTTCTTACTTTGAAAATTGTATTGAACCCAAGCTAGCTAATATTTTTCTTTGGTTCTGGTTTCAAATAGGGAAATATGCTTAATTATGGTTTGCCTCATCGCTTGGAAATTGTAGCATTTATATGTTGATGTAACTTGCCTGAATGTAAAAGAAGGACTATGTATAGGTAAAGGGACATATGTAAATGGATCCAAAGCATGTTTGGCAAGGCAGAGAAGCCAAAAGGAAAAGAGGAAAATCATATCACCTGCCAAACATTTAGGGGCCACATGCCAAGTCTTGCCTTCACTTCCTCTAAATCTGTGGCTGTGTTTGGTTTTCAGCCTTTTACATAAAATTCAGTTTAAGTTTGACCTCTAAAATTTTAGAGAAGTGGGAAAGCTTTTGAGTTACTTCAGTACAATTATTCCTGGAAAAACTGCACTTGACCATATGGTAGCTTCTATAGAATGCATTTTAATGAGGCATGTACCTAGTTTTAGATTTAAACATTTAGGGCTGATTTTGGATAATTTCTATGGATTTTGGCCTAAAACAATCATTTCTATTCTCAAATGCAAAGATTTGTGTAATGTTAACCAATTGTATTAGCTACTGTCACATGATGCTAGAAAACAAAAATCCCAAACTCAGTGATCAAAATCAACTGTCTTATTTTCTCTTCACACATTATGTCAACAGGAGTCTACTTTTCAAGGGTTGGTACTAGTTAGGTGACTGAGCTACAAGTTGCAAATCTAGCTGGACATTGCTTCCTGGATATTTATCCTACGGCACAATCTGAGGGGAATCCTTATCTGTGGGATGCTCTGCTCATGGGAAATGCCAAAGATAGCAAAGATAAGTAGAAATATATAAAGTTTCTAAAGCCTTATCCCAGAAACGGCCCTCTGTAATCCCTGCTCACATGTTATTGGCACATCTAAGGCCAAATCAAGGAGTAGGCAAATGCATTCTAGTTCTTTTAATGGGAAAACTGTGAAGCTGCCTTGGAAAGGGAGTAGAATCAAAGAGGTGTGAAGAATCAAGAACAGTGAAGATCAACCTCTATTTTGATATTGGATTCTCTTGTGCCTACCTAAGCCCACCACTTTGAAGTCCTGTCAAGAACTTTTTTTTTTATAAGACTTTTAAGATACATGCAGTCATATTCCTTCAAAAGCAAGACAAGTATTTCTCAGAGTTCTCTAACATATGACTGAATACAAAATATATTGGATCAGGAAATCAGTTATTTCATTATTAGCTGTATTTACATTTTTTTAAGATTTATATTATTTATTTGAAAGACAGAGTTAGAGAGAGACGTAGAGACAGAGAGAGAGGTCTTCCATCCATTCACTCCCTAGATGGCCGCAATGGCCAGAGCTGTGCTGATCTGAAGCCAGAAGCCAGGAGCTTCTTCCCGGTCTCCCACCTGGGTGCAGGGGCCCAAGGACTTGGGTCATCTTCTACTGCTTTCCCAGGCCATAGCAGAGAGCTGGATTGGAAGAGGAGCAGCCGGGACTAGAACTGGCACCCATGTGGGATGCCAGCACTTAGGCCAGGGCTTTAACCCACTGTGCCACAGTGCCAGCCCCTGTATTCACATTTTTAATACCCCATTGTTTATATTATCAACTAAGTATGAATTGCAACAATTGGTTTGACACGAGTAAATAATGTTAAGAATATTTTATACCAAGATAGTTCATTTACTTTCACATATTTTACAAGATTTTATAAAAGACCATGTATTTCAAAATAATGTTCATAATATTTTTGATTGTGACCTTTGCATTTGACTATCAGAAAAAAAAACACAACATTTGACTTTCAAAGAAAATAAAATACTTGATTCCAAGTTTAGTTATTACATTTTTAATAATTTGCTCCTTTTTTCTTCCATGAAGAAGTGATTTTATGGAAACCCCAAATTTGCTTATCTTCTTGTACTATAAGCCCTGGTTGAGTGAATCAATGGTCTTTGGAGGCAGCTGAGTAACAATCCAGCAACAATCCAGTGTTAGCTCACTGACCTCTTCTCTCCACAGATTGATGTTTTGCCAGAAATTGTGGAGGCTGTGGAAGGGAAGGTGGAAGTCTTCCTGGATGGAGGTGTGAGAAAAGGCACTGATGTTCTGAAAGCTCTGGCCCTGGGTGCCAAGGCTGTGTTTGTGGGGAGACCAATCATATGGGGATTGGCTTTCCAGGTAATTGGAATATATATAGATACACACACATACAGGATGATTCAGCAGTGAAGTAAATGCATGAAATTAGTGATATTGGCTTACCCAGTAGTTCTTCCCTTTTCACTTGCCTAGGGGGAGCAAGGTGTCCAAGATGTCCTTGAGATACTAAGGGAAGAATTCCGGTTGGCTATGGCTCTGAGTGGTAAGACTCATCCTTCTAACATAGAAGCCTCTTTTCATCTGTGGTCTTAAAGCCAGGCTTGGTGAAGAGAAAGCACTGAGGACAAGAAGATGGATTGATTCGGGGCATACTAAATTTGCTATTGACTTCATATTTATAGTTCCAGTGCTGAGCACTCTTTGAACTGAGGCATTATATAGTGTGCATTGTCTATAGAAGTCATTTAGCTTCTACCTTTGACAACCTTATTAGGAATATTTTGGTGACTGTAAGTACATTAATGGAGGATGCTACATCATTTACTTTCTCATCTTAAAGCACATAAATGTAACTAGCTAGTCAACGCCTCTACTTGGATGTCTAAGTGACAACTGAAACAACAACCTGTCTAAAACAAAGCTCTTGACTTTCTCTGTTAAATCTGCTCCATCTGCACGCTCTCCAATTTCAGTTCTTGTTAATACCTTGGTCTCATTGCTCAGACAAAAATCTTGAGTTGTTTTTGACTCTCCTTTTCCTCTTAGACCCTCACTTTCACAGGAATTCTTTCTTCAAACTACAGTCAGAACCTGACACCACTTACTAGCTGCACTCCCACCACACTGGCTGTACTCATCTCCCCTTATCTCAGAAACTGCAATCACTTGCCATCATCATTTCTCTTCCATTGAATACTGAGGATCTTCCTCCCCGTCCTTGCTTACTTCCTCTCTCTATTCTGACAATGACAACCAGAATACTCCTTTAAATATTAGTTCAGATTCTGTTACTCTTCCCATCTAAACCTTCTAATGGCTCTTGGTTTACTCAGAGTAAATGACAAAGCCCTTAAAATGGTTCCCGAGGCCTTATGCGGTTTGACCGCTGTTACCTTTCTAACCACTACTCCTACTACTGTCACCCTTTCTTATTCTACCTGGTCACATTTTCCATTCTGATGTTGCTTGACTGTGTCAGCTGTGTTTGAGCCTTAAGCTTTTGAATTGGCCGTTCCCTCTGTGTGGATGCTCTTCCCCCCAGACTTCTGCATGAATAACTTCTTCATGCCCTTCAAAAGTTCATGTAAATTGCACTTTCTCAAAATGGTTCATAATGACTACGCTGTTTAGAATAGCAATCCATCCTCTACTCATCCATTCAACTGCTTTTTACATCCATGTTTTGTTACTGTTTTTCCATAGCACCTGTCATCCTTTACATATCATCTGTCATATAATTTATTTTTAAAATTGTAAGCACTACATAATCTCACCTTCCAGTCTAGAATGGAAAAAAAACATATGGCAGGGATCTTTGTTATCTTCATGGCAGCATTTCCAGAGTCTAGAGCAGTATCTGCCACGTAAACAGTAAATATTTGTTGAAAGAATGAATGTCACGGTTACTAGTGACTATTTTTGAATGTGACTCAGAATAAACCTCTAGATGCGAAGAGTGGCCTTGAGTTAATTATCAACCATTCCATTTGTGAAGGTAGAGAGGGTTGATTTTCTGAGATCTACATGATGGAGATGATCCACATCGATGGAACTCCTGAGATAAATGGTCTACTTAGTACTGTGCAGAGCATGTGCAGGCAGAGCTTCGTTGAGAAGAATGCCATTCTGTGAATCCTCCCAATGCATTTTAATTGGCTACAGACATATCCTAAAAGAGAGCTTTCAGTCACTGGCTCTCTATTAAATGTGGCAGAAAGAATATACTCTTTGTGTTAATAAAAATATGTGCCAGTCATTTTGTGTTAAGGACTGTTTAGGTAATAAAAATGGTCTCATGCCACATAAGATTTGGCAAGCCTACCTTGAATCATAAACCTTACATTTGTCAAGTTTTACATTCCTTGGGAAAACGATTACCTGCCTGATTATTATTGCATTCATTTCATATTAAATGTATGCATTATTTTTTCAGGGTGCCAGAATGTGCAAGTCATTGACAAGACATTGGTGAGGAAAAATCCTTTGGCTGTTTCCAAGATCTGACACTGCACAATATTTTCCCATCTGTATTCTTTTTTTCAGCGTGTATTACTTGACAAAGACACACTGTGCAGACGGTGACCACAGTCTGTAATTCCCCACTTCGATACAAAGGGTGTCGTTCTTCTCCAACAAAATAGCAATCCCTTTTAGTTCATTGCTTTTGACTATTCAATGGGTGTCCTAGGAACCTTTTAGAAAGAAATGGATTTGCATCCTGGAAATATATTAACTGTTAAAAAGAAAACATTGAAAATGTGTTTAGACAACGTCATCCTCTGGCAGGCTGAGGCGCTGGAAAACAAAAGATATTCTTTGGTAAAATTAGAAGTAGTGAACACTTAGGTAAAGATAATGATTTCACTGTTTGTTACCTGCATTGTGTTTAGACAAACTTAAAACAGTGATTCTTTAATTGCAGCTCGGGCTCAAAATGTTAGAAATGCCTACAAATATAGGAATTTTAGATAGAATTGGCATGGGTGGTAGTAATTTGTGATTTTCTAGATACCTTTTTAACACCTTGAGCGATGCTACTCCTTTCAATGTAGCCTCCAATCACATGTTTAGTATCTGAAAGAAATAAAGCATTTTGAAAAAAGAATACATCTGTCCTGTTTGTAGCATATGGATTCAACCATTTTAATTTCCGAACCTGAATTGCCCTCTATTCCCCTTGAATATACCTTTTTAATTCTCCTATACCTTGTAGCCTTTCTTCTTTATTCTTGTGCTTCTTTCCCACTTACAGTCACATACAGAGCCAGATAAATTATTTGTGAGGACCACAAGGGCCTCTTGTTCAAAAAACAAGAAAAAAAAAAGAAAAGCTTTTCTCCGTTTCTTCCACAGCTTTTCTGTGTTTTGTTTGCCATTTAATGTGATTCCTCCGGGTCGTGGACACACCCATGGGCCCAGAGTTTGCCCTTTCAGGTGCTGGGGATCCTGCCTTGAAACTTTCCTTCTCCCTTTCTGTGCTCATGTGGAGGATGGAAGGTACTGAACACTGCAGCCGGTGTGAGCCAGCAGACAAGACCCCATGCTGGGACACGAGGTGACAGGAGAAGGCACAATGGGTAACATAGGCTCCAAGCCCCCAGAACTAAGTTGTCTCATGGAACTACATTTCCAAAACACAAATTCGCAGATAAATAATTTTAAGTCCACAACCACAGATCATCAAGCCTCAAGCATGGGAACCCCATCTAAATATCGACGTCTGCCTCCTGCACTTGTGACATGCCCACGAAGCCCTGTTCATCAGCTTCTAGATCTATTCCTAAAGTCAAGCACTGGATACATCAGAGGTGTACTGTAGCCAAAGTGATTCTTGTAGCCGATTTCTTACCACTCTGGTTGCTCAACCATGGTGAGTTATCAAATGAAACATTTGACGTAATAACTCCCTTAACTATTGTTATTATAAAGTGCTTGCTTTTGCTTTTGTAAAATGATTTTTATTTTTTAAAAACTTTTATTTAATAAATATAAATTTTGAAAGTACAATTTTTGGATTATAGTGGTTTTATCCCTATAGCCACCCTCCCACCTGCAAACCATCCCATCTCCTACTCCCTCTCCCATCCCATTCTTCATTAAGATTCATTTTTAGTTATCTTTATTATTAGTTTTGTTTCATTATTTTTATGCTTTTTGTCTCCCTCAATGCCAGGACATTTCTAAACACTAACTTGAGTACAAACATAGATTTTCTTTCATAAATTATACATAAGAATGATAAATAAAAAAACACCTAAACTGATGAAAAGAGTTACCTCTTTTTAGTCAAATGCAAAGAAGGTGTATTATTGTCATATAAAATATTTTTCCAATGAACATTAATCAATATATATAACTCCTCCTTGATTCCCTCAACTGATTCAGAAATGCATTAGCTGCTGGCACAGAATGTCTATTTTGGGTTTTGGGGGTGGGCATTTTGCACAGCAGGTAAAACACTGCTTGGAATGTTTACATCCCATATTAAAATGTCTGAGTTTGAGTCCAGGCTCTGCCTCTGACTCCTGCTCCCTGCTAATATGCACCCTGGGAGGCTCAAGGGGTGCTCAAGTAATTGGGTCTCTGTCACCCATATGGGAGACCTGAATTGAGCAACTTGGTCTGGGAACTTAAAAAAGTTTATTTTGGCTAAATAATGCATGGTATGTGTTTGGTTGTTGGCTTGCTAAAATAGTGATAACCTCCTAGAAAATGGAAGTTTGCAAATGATGTTTTATGCAAGTCATAGTGAGAATGTGAATTGCTGAAATCACTTTGTTAATTTCTCATTATTATTTTATGATCCCACAGCCATACTGCCTTGCTGAATGTAGATTTCAACTTATTTCTTTAGAGTTGGAATATATCTGAATGCTTTATATCTGATAATTTTCCATAATCAACAATGTAAATATTTCTTCTTCTTCTCCTTCTCCCCCTCCTCTCCCTCCCTCCATCTCCCCCTCCCTCTCCTCCTCCTATTCTCCCCCTCCCTCCTTCTCCCCTCCCCCTTCCTCTTTTTCTCCTCCCCCTCTCCTTTCTCCTCCTCTTCCTCCTCCTCCTCTTCCTTCTTCTTTTTGTAAGAGTGACTAGGATCCAGCTGTAACAAGATTAAAACTAAAGGAATCTGATAGTTGAAACAAAAATGGGATGTATTGGTTGTATATCTCTTTCATGGAGTTTTGTTATTTCATATTTTATAAAAATTCATTGTGGCAGCCAAATTCTTTTCTGTTGCAAAGTTTCTTAAAATACATTATAGAAGAGAATATTAAGAAATGGATGGTTTAATACAGGCTGTCTGCTTTTCTAGCATGTTATTTAATGTATACACAACAGCAAAGTTTGTCAGGCTTTAGTGTGTGTCAGAATCACCTGTTAGGCTTGGTAGAACAGACTGTTGGGTCATGCACCTATAGATTCTGACTCAACCAGCAGATGGAACCAGGTGCTGGGTATAAGTTAGAGGTAGAGGCCATGTTCCACCAAAAAATGCTGGCTGCTCCTTAGCTATTTGATGCAGTTTGTCAAATTTTATTTTTTTTTATAATATAAATTGCATAAGTTGGGCGTATAAAGCTCTCAAATCTAAGTGTGGATAAATTATACATATACACTATGTGACCACCACTGAGATCAATATACAGAAAATTTCCATCATTTTCCACCACAAGTAAACCTATGCTGACTTCAGTTGCCAGGAATTGGGTTTGACTGATGTGAACTTTGTATAGATGAAACTTTATAGTATGTGCCTTAGTGTTTGGTTTCGTTTATTCAACATATGTGAAAGCCCTCATGTTATTGAGCATATCAGTAGCTCTGTAGTGATCCATTATAGGAATATATCATAGTGTATCTATCCCTTCTGCTATTGCTTGCATTTTTGGGCTATTTCTAATTATTTTGCTGGAAGCAGAAAATAATCGGTTTTTATGAAAAAATAATTTCCATATTCCTTTATGATTTTTCAAGAAAAGATAGACATCTAGATTTTTATTTAGAAATCTTCAATGTTGGCAAATATTTGACATTTTGAACATCGAGTGTGGTCATGTTCAACATGGATATGGCCCATGAGCCGCAAGTTCTCAGCCCCTGTACCATCTTGTCCTTGCAGATGTTTTCCTCAAGGCTGGAACTGCTCTTAGGCCCTTACGTAGAAGCACTCTGTAGACCTGTGGCAGTGATGGTTGCCTTTCACAAACATTGTCAGAATCTCCTTTGTTTAAGCTTGCTTGTATTATAGAAGAATGTGGGTGTGAAATAAACTTCCTTCTCCCCATGAGGCTTGAGGAGCCCAGGTTCCCAGGCCTGTAGGAATAAATTAAATGGTATTGATGCTTCTTAGCGTGCAGTTTGCAAACTGCATCTGTGTCATTGCTGTGTTATTCATTTGCTTGTTTATCTTGCCAAAACATTGGTGTTTGTGAAACAGCTTTAGAGGGCTGTGGTGGATTAGGATAGCATGAAAGGAAGTTGTGGCTTGTTCTCAAACAGGGAGAAAAGCCTTTTTTCTTCATTGTAAAATTCATAATTTATTTACTGCCTGATGGATTGTGTTGCATGTCCGTTGCATAGCAACAAAATAAAGTTTGTCTGTTTAGGAAAGTCTGAAGATTTCTTATAACATAAAGGCAGAGGATGATTTCTGAGCTTACATTTGCTTCAGTGTACACTCTGTCATATGCCAATTACAGAACGACATCAGGGTGAAAGTTTATTTTAGGTAGTATAAATGTTAGCCCAAATGATAGGAGGCTGTTATTATATGTTTATGCGATGGGAAATCTTATCTGTTTTAAAAGATGCAATTTCCTGTCCTTACCCAAATCTAACTTGAGCAATAGGTATCTACTTTCCTCCCTAATATGGTTGTCCATAGTTCATTGGGGGCAATAAAAAAAGATACTTTTAATAATCCAGTTACCTGTGAGCTTCTCCACAGATATTTTCCTGAACTTGGATAAAAAGCACAGCCATAACAGAAAACTTTCCAGGGTATTCTAAAAACCAAGAGTTACGTGACCCTGAATCATGCCAAAACAAGGGCTGGAATTCAAGTGAGCAATATGTTTGATTTTGTTTCTTTGATTCAGCCTCCATGAGGAAAAGAGCCTGGCTTAGGTTCCTACCTGTCTTTCCTGGTTAGATCATTTATATTTAAAGCTGATTTGTGTTCCATGATGGTCAAACTCCTAAGTCTGTTTTTAACAGTAGAATCTTCTTACTGATAAAATCATTTCTGGTAAAATGCTCTACAATACAAGTCAGAGCTTCCTTAAAGACCTCACTATGTGAAGGTCAAGGTTATTCTGATTGAAAGCCCTGGGCTAGGACCTTCAAGATCTGAGTGACTAGCCCTGTGAATCATTTTTTTAACCCTAGAACCCTCAGACTCTTGGATGTGGAATGAAGACAGTAGCATATACCTACCTCACTGAGCCATTATGAACATTGTGTGGTAAAATATGTGAGACTACATCGTGAGTGTAAGTCAACCTTCCAAGGAAAATCTTATTAACAAGGATTACTATCAGGAGACATTAACTGGTTCCAATATGTATTTTATTTTATAGTATTTACCTAGAAAAAATTAATTCTTGTAAAAATAATTAAAGATTTCAAGCAATTCAACAGAGTAAAGATAAAAACGCATGGATATTCCCACAGGGTTTATTTTAAGAGAATATTATCTTAGACATTGCAAATAGATAAAATAAAGAATGTTTGGGTAAACAGAATTGGCTTTACTGAAATAATGCTGCATAATAAATGTGGCATTTAAGTAAAATACTGAATTATTTTTATATGAATATAATAAGAAAAATGAAATTAAAGTGATTATGTTTTTTCTAAAAGAGATGTTACAACTGAAAAGTTTATGCTCAGTGGATTTTGAAATTTATAAAAACTTAAGAGTTTGGGACACTTTTTGATTTATGGCCTACCACATGTAAATTTTAGATGGTATAATTTGACTCATTGCTATAAAATATGAAGTAACTGACCTCTTATACTTTCCATTCCCCAACCTCTTCTCATTTTGTTCACATATTATTATTTTATATTGTCAAAGTAAAAAAAGTACCAATAATTTCTAAAACGGTATAGTGTTAGTTTTCATTTAAATAGTGTTGTGTTATCATTATAGCTTCTTGATTCTCAAGTTCTTACCTTTGATTCAATTTGTGCTTCTCTGAATTTCATGGACCAAAATAGTCTTATTCTTTGCATTTTGCATGTTTAAAAAACTGAGTGACACTTATATTTGAATAACACCATGGGTAAGTATAATATTTTGGGGGTAACTCTTTTTGGAAACCTTTAGATTACCTTCTGGCATTGAATTTGATGTGAGAAATTAAGACCAGCCTATAGTTCCCCCCTTGATGTTGGCTTAATCTTTTCTTCACCTACAAAACTGACGTCTAAAATAGCATTTCCCTATCTCTAAATTTTAACAACTTTATCTAAGATAATGCCAAATGTCATATGACTCACAATTTTAAAACATGACCATGCCTAGCCTATTGTATTTTATTTTAAATTTAAATATACAATATTTTCTTATTTAATTAGAAAGGGAAGGAGGGATGGAGGAAGAGAGAGAGAAAGGAAGAGAATTTCCCATCTCTTAGTTCACTCAGAACATCTGGGAGTGGGCCAGGCTAAAACTAGGATCCTGGAATTCAATCCGGATCTCCCATGTGAACTGAAGGTACCCAAGTTTTTAAGTCATCACCTGCTGCCTTCCTGGATATCCATTGGCAAGAAGCTAGAACTGGGAGTGGAGCTGGGACTTGAACTCTGATGTGGGATATGAACATCCCCAAGTGGTTTCTTAACCTCTTCTCTAAATGCCCACCCTGCACTTCATGTATCTAAGTTACCCTTACCAATAGTGTTTCACCAGCATTAAGTGGTTATCATAAACTATTAGGGAGTTGTCCTATAGTAACAAATTAGAGACTTTTATTATGTAGACCAGAGCTACCCATGAATGTTTGCTAATGATGAAAATGTATATCTGAGCCGGCGCCGCGGCTCACTAGGCTAATCCTCCGCCTAGCGGCGCCGGCACACGGGGTTCTAGTCCCGGTTGGGGCGCCGGATTCTGTCCCGGTTGCCCCTCTTCCAGGCCAGCTCTCTGCTGTGGCCCGGGAGTGCAGTGGAGGATGGCCCAGGTGCTTGGGCCCTGCACCCCATGGGAGACCAGGAAAAGCACCTGGCTCCTGGTTCCTGCCATCGGATCAGCGCGGTGTGCCGGCCGCAGCGCGCCGGCCGCGGCGGCCATTGGAGGGTGAACCAATGGCAAAGGAAGACCTTTCTCTCTGTCTCTCTCTCTCACTGTCCACTCTGCCTGTCAAAAAATAAAAAAAAAAAAAAAAAAAAAAAAAAAAGAAAATGTATATCTGTGCTGTGCAATGCAGCAGCCATTAGTTGCTTACTGGGCATTTGACATGCTTCATTTTGTTTAATTTTAAATAATTTAAATTTTAGAAACATGCAGTTCATGTGTACATATTGAATAGAACAGGTGTAGATATTGAGAACTACCTTGGACACCAAAGAAATCTCATATAACAGACTCAAAAGACTAGTGTAAAGTGATCAACCCTGCTCTGTGGCTACTCTGGGCATCACAAAATCTTCTTGATGCAACTGACAGATGTAAAAAAATAAAATGTTGTAGTATGAGAATACTTGAGAGTTCATGGGAAAAAATGTTCATTTTGGTGCAAACAGTTTTGCAATTCATGCATAGTTTTTTCATAATATAAATTTTATGAACTTTTTGAAGATTGCTTGTATACGTTGATTTTAAAAATGTTTGGTACCAAAATAAGTTTATCTAATAATTCTATTATCCACAAACTTTTTGATATTCTCTCATACTCTTATCTGTATGGTAAGCATATACATTATAATAATCATTATAATATAATTTATAAGTTGTGCTGTATAAGAGGAACATAAATTGCAATGGTAAATGTAATAATGTCTTAAATTAGTTAAAAAGAAACTGTGATTTTTTTTTGTTTTTCTTGTTAATCTTTTAAAATGATGGTTTGCTGGGAATCTCTGAAGACTTTTCTGTGAAGTGTGAGTTTATGGTCCATCCCAGGCATTGAGTGAACACATCATTTTGAGAAAATAATCTTGAATGTGAGATTTAATCTTAAGTGGGATAGTGATACTGTTAATGAACAGGATGTGATAATAAAAATTGTGCCTTTTCAAATTGCAAGGAATAATATATGTTAAGCCATTGTATAAATAATAGTAATGAAAATATATGGTATGCAGGGTTATGACTTCTTTCTTGAAATCTGAAAGTAATTAACAGAGCTTGTTAGACATAGTGTAATATATCCAGTAGAGTGGACAAAACTATATGCTAGGTAGCAAACTGACACCAATAAGGGTTTACTCTAAGGAAATTTTTAGTTATAATTTTCCTTCATTTGTTGATATGATGTTATCTTATTTTAGTATTAATGAGTAAACATCTCAAATTTTTTGAATATTTCTGAATAATAGTACACAATAGCTTTCCACTAAAGAAAAGCATAGTTTGATTCAAATTTTGGTTTCTATATTAGTTAATATTATCACTATACTATCTGGTGTAAAAGAGCAATACCTATCAATGTTTTTGAGAATTTCTGAATCATTACATTTTATAATAATATGTATCTTGGTGTGAGTGTTCTTGTTCTAAATAGTATTTCTTAATGAACTAAAACAGTAGTAAGGGAGAAGCCTTTTAGAAAGTTTTTCAGTCTTTGAGTGAATAAAGTTAAAATTCATTGTTTCCAACCACATATATATCTATGAAAAAACAACACGTGGCAAAGGAACATTTGAAAATTCAGGCACTGGGTAATTGTTAGTCTATCACAAAATAAAACATATATTTTTAATTTATACAATTATTAAATATTCATGATTATGAACAGGGTAGTGTACACAAAAGCCAGAATCATAATTTTGCAAAGACAATCACTGTATCAGCTGGAGGTTTTGTCTATGCAACTGCATAAACAGTTTTCCTATTTTCCACTAGATTGACCAGATGCTTTGTTGTCATGTAAACACAATCTAAATGAAATCCACAGATTTCCCCAAAAACCTTATTTTAGCTAAATATTTCTTGGCTGATCTTATTTTGGGTCTGTTAACAATTTATCCAGAAAGCTTTGATTGGCCTTTAAGTCTTTTGCCATCTCTTATCCATCCTTTATTGGGCAGTCAAATGATGGAGAAAATGATGCAAGTGCAAGCAAATAAACATAGAAAGAAAGGTCTTTGGAAGCCAGGCACTCTGCACAGTTAGTTGTTGGGGCTTTCTCAGGAACAGAGTGGTCAAAAGGGCAAGGGAGGTTATTATCCAAACTATCTCCCCATTCGAAATGTCCCTGTCCCAGAGGATTAGAATGAGACTCTCATGCCCTTAAACATCCTCTCTGTTATCTCTCCTACTTCCTACATTCTTTGAGGCTCCAGATGAGTAAAATAACAACATGTATTTAACATATTAATTTAAAATGACATGTGGTGGTGATATTGTATATTTGTCTCTAATATGTAGTGATATCATTCTATGCTATCAGTCTCTGATGTGAAAGTCACATGTCTCTATAGATGTGTGAGATGATGCAATTGCAGTGACAATGACATCGTGTGAGAATCTAGCTGTTTATATCAATTTCAATGTATTTTATGTACTCACGATCCTGATCCTTCTGACTTTTTGATTCTTTTTCAGGAATAAAGCATAAATCTGCGATTCTCAGTCGTTTACCCTACCCAATATGATTAAACACAATTTCCCAGTCTAGATTCATTTGTATTTTAGCTTCAATCAAACTAAAGACTGGGAAACTAAAAAATATTAGTGTCTATCAGAAAATGCTAATATTTGAGTCCTGTCTACATTATTGAAACAGTTAAGTAAAATGAATAATTATGTTTGGCATCAGCTGTTATTTAACCATATACCAATTAAAAACAATATATCATTTATTTTATTTATGTTTGTTCATGGAAGAATGCAATTTTTTTACTTTTTATTTTTAACTTTTATTTAATGAATATAAATTTCCAAAGTACAGCTTATGGATTACAATGGCTTCCCCCCCACAACGTCCCTCCCACCCACAACCCTCCCCTTTCCCACTCCCTCTCCCCTTCCATTCACATCAAGATTCATTTTCAATTCTCTTTATATACAGAAGATCAGTTTAGCATACATTAAGTAAAGATTTCAACAGTTTGCTCCCACACAGAAACATAAAGTGAAAAATACTGTTTGAGTACTAGTTATAGCATTAAATCTCAATGTACAGCACACTAAGGACAGAGATCCTACATGAGGAGTAAGTGCACAGTGACTCCTGTTGTTGACTTAACAAATTGACACTCTTGTTTATGGCCTCAGTAATCACCCTCGGCTCTTGTCATGAGCTGCCAAGGCTATGGAAGCCCCCTGAGTTCACTGACTCTGATCATATTTAGACAAGGCCATGGTCAAAGTGGAAGTTCTCTCCTCCCTTCAGAGAAAGGTACCTCCTTCTTTGATGACCTGTTCTTTCCATTGGGATCTCACTTGCAGAGATCTTTCATTTAGTTTTTTCCATTGGGATCTCACTTGCGGAGATCTTTCATTTAGTTTTTTTTTTTTGTTTTTTTTTTTGTTTTGTTTTGTTTTTTTCCCCCAGAGTGTCTTGGCTTTCCATGCCTGAAATACTCTCATGGGCTTAAAAAAATTTTTTTGTTTCATATGAGGGTGAGAAGAAAGGATAAGAGATGTAACATTTTGGACATGACCTGTAATTTTCTGTAGGTTGCCTAGATGTCAACAGATAACTCTGAGCATCAAGGTTATGCTGTGATGAGTACTGGAATTTCAACTTCAGTCCTTTGGACTCCTGACAGAGAGCCTTTTCTGCTAGGACACATTGGTTTTGGCCCTGCTCTTTGGACCTTACAACATTGGTTTTATGGAAGACAGAACTCAGTGATTACTAATGTACTTATTAATTCTTTACTATCTTAACAGTGCAGTGTCCAAAATGATAGAAAGAGTGGCCCACAACTGTGTTCTATGTATAAGGCATTGATTGAGTTCTGACCGCACTGAATATATTCAGGGAAAGAAAGCATATGGTTAAGATACCTGGACTTCAAGTCATATGTGTAGAATGTAGCATATCTTGTGGTTAACATGTGTTGATCTTTACCTTCTTACATGCTGAAAAGTAGATATATGGTAAACTTAATGTTATCCTAAGAACAGTACATTAATATTATAAAATTATGAAGAAATAGTGTCATAAGTTGTTTTATCATGTCCGTGAAGGGAGATGATCTGGTTGTCTTCTGAGTGCTGTTTTCCCAGAACTTTGCATGAAAACAATGTAGTTGTTCAATAAATATTTCCTAAATGAATTGATGAAATCTTGTCAGAGATAGAAGTCCTTTTAAAGACTAACTTTGGCATTCTATTCTTAGAATCAAATATAGCAAATACTGTAAAGTATGCTAGTAAGAAAATGTAAAAGCACAATATTTAATAGCAAATTCTAATTGGAATACTTTTTGACATTGTGATCTGATGTGATTTGGAAAAAAGTGAATTTCACTGGGAAAGATCAACAACTAATTTTGCTGTCTGCTCTTTCCAGGTCAGAATGCTCAGTATGGGGCAAAGAATAGACAGAGAGGAAATGTTTTCCTACCTACACTAACACCAGCTGGCCTCTCAAAGGTCTCTGGGCATGTGTGACAATCCATCATTCCTGTCTACTGTCTAGTTTTCCTGCAGAAGGTCATTACCTTTGACTCTCTCCAATAGCTCTCCTTCAGGTCTTGTTCTGATGAAGCCTGCAGCCAGGGGGAATACAGTTGAGCACTTGCCTTTGGCTCCTCTTCTGGACTTGGCAAGACTGTTCTCCAGGAGGGAGAGACAGAAATTCAGCCATGAGTATCTTTTCCAATTATGTTCCTTGCCAGGCTGGAATCTGCTCCTTGTGTAAACACCTGAGATCCTGCTCTTCATCTCTACAGTTTGGTGGTTTAGACACTTATTTCCACTGCCAGATATGGGTTAGCTGGCTCAGTGTAGAAAACATACAGAGCAGTGATTATATAAGACATCTCAATCTACAATTGTGATCCAAAATTCACAATATTCACATCAAGATTTTTCCAAGTGTGGCATTCATTCTAACACTCCTTGTAAATGTTCCTCATGTTCTATAATTACCCAATTAACTCATAATGTAAACACAAGACAAGGGAAAGATGAAATGTTTTGAGTAAAACACACTAATGAGCAAGATACAATGGATAATATTAAACATTACACTTGCTTGTTTTATTGATGCTTATTATTTATTTATTTTTTGACAGGCAGAGTGGACAGTAAGAGAGAGAGACAGAGAGAAAGGTCTTCCTTTTCCGTTGGTTCACCCCCCAAATGGCTGCTGTGACGGGCGCACCACGCTGATCCGAAGCCAGGAGCCAGGTGCTTTTCCTGGTCTCCCATGCGGGTGCAGGGCCCAAGTACTTGGGCCATCCTCTACTGCACTCCTGGGCCACAGCAGAGAGCTGGACTGCAAGAGGAGCAACTGGGACAGAATCTGGGGCCCTGACCGGGACTAGAACCCGGTGTGCCGGCACCGCAAGGCAGAGGATTAGCCTATTGAGCCATGGCGCTGGCCTGTTGATGCTTATAACCAATGGGGTTGATTAATTGATTGATTGGCTATTACTGTTTGTTACTATATCATCTCTTACTTCCATTCACAACTCACCTTCTACTAAAGTTTTATTTGAGTAATGCCTCGGAAGATGAAAAGATTCCAGGAATTATAAAGCACTGATTTAGGGAAGTCTGGATTGCAGAAAGACCAGCTCCATCCCAGGCCCTGAGACAGGCATAATTTTCATATTTTACATCTCAACATTGAAGATCTATTTGAAGTTGTCTTATTTTAAGGGCTTTCTAACATCTCTTTCTAACACCTGTCTAGATAATTAACAAAGCAGTAGAAAGAGATCAAAGTTATGGTTATTTTCTTGATTCTTTACACAAAAATGCCCCAGGTACCTGTCTGGTGTTTGATATAAAAAAGAAATCTGAAACAGTCATATTCCTTGATATATATCACCAATATTTTGAGCTGCTAGCACATTTGCCTGTTACGTCAAGGCATCTGAAAGTTTAAAGCTTGGCAAAGCAATGTTTTTCTTTTTCTTCTTCTAGAATCCCAGGGTAAACATTAAGCAGACAGCATTTCTGCTTTGAGCATTAGAGGGAAAAAAAGACTGAATTTGAAAAGCCTACTAGTACACTTTGGGGATTTCGGAAAGTGTCATTTGGCTAGGAGCTGAGTGGAGAAGCTGCCATTCTGTAGAGGGGATAGGATGGAAGCCGCATGGCCTCATTCATAACTTCACAGCTACTGCAAATATCAGCTGATGAATATTTATGTTATCCCTGGCTTAGACCCGAAAGACAAACAGGGGGAAAAAAAACAAAAGTTAGGAAAAGGTCGTCTGAACTCTGTGGGATTTTTTACCAACACTTTCCATGCGCGAGCAGTAGCCCTGAATGAAGTCATTCTGTGCAGGGGCCCAGCACAGGAAGACAGGGTCTGTTCATTAGTGCCCCGCACTTTGTTTGAACCTTGTACATTCATGGGGTCCTGAAAAGGAAACCCTTTCCTTAAATCAAACATACAGGATATAGCGCTACCTTACTTTTTTTTTGGGGGGGGGGGAAATTATTGCAAATTGCTCCTCATTTTAAAGTAACTTCGATGGTTCAAAGAAAGAGCAAGTCAGTTAAGGGGAGCTTAATACATTTTTTAAAAGGATAATTCCAGTCCAAGTTAACACTGTGTTGAGTTCAGTTTCAGAAAATATTTTGAAATTTATGAGAATACTTCAAAATGTTTGAGAAAAATGGAATTGGAAGATAAAGCACATTTTCCATGAATATATGGAAGATCCCATGTATACAAATAATGTCATTATATATAACTCTACTGAATATCATAGTAAAAGAAAAATTTTAGAAAAAATTTTTTCTTTTTTTATTTTTTATTTAGTAAATATAAATTTTCAAAGTACAGTTAATGGATTACAATGGCTCCCCCCCCATAATTTCCCTCCCACTCCCACCCCTCCCATCTCCTGCTCCCTCTCCCATTCCATTCACATCAAGATTCATTTTCAATTCTCTTTATATACAGAAGATCAATTCAGTATGTATTAAGTAAAGATTTCAACAGTTTGCACCCACACAGAAACACAAAGTGTAAAATACTGTTTGAGTACTAGTTATAGCATTACTTCACATTGGACAACACACTAAGGACAGATCCCACATGAGAAGTAAGTACACAGTGACTCCTGTTGTTGACTTAACAATTTGACACTCTTGTTTATGGTCTCAGTAATCTCCCTAGGCTCTGGTCATGAGTTGCCAAGGCTATGGAAGCCTTTTGAGTTCGCCGACTCGATCTTATTCTGACAGGGTCATAGTCAAGTGGAAGTTCTCTCCTCCCTTCAGAGAAAGGTACCTACTTTTTTGATGGCCCCATTCTTTCCACTGGGATCTCACTCGCAGAGATCTTCCATTTAGGTCTTCTTTTTTTTTTTTTTTTTTCCAGGGTGTCTTGGCTTTCCATGCCTGAAATACTCTCATGGGCTCTTCAGCCAGATCCAAATGACTTAAGGGCTGATTCTGAGGCCAGAGTGCTATTTAGGACATCTGCCATTCTATGAGTCTACTGTGTATCCCGCTTCCCATGATGGATCGTTCTCTCCCTTTTTGATTCTATCAGCTAGTATTAGCAGACACTAGACTTGTTATGTGATCCCTTTGACTCTTAGACCTATCAGTGTGATCAATTGTGAACTGAAATTGATCACCTGGACTAGTGAGATGGCATTGGTACATGCCACCTTGATGGGATTGTATTGGGATCCCCTGGCAGTTGTTTTCTAAAATGTTCTAGAGATTTTAGTCTTATTTCAGAAAAAAAAAAATACCTCTTGAGCTGCATTGTAGAAGAATTGATCATTTGAGATTTACATACTACCTCCCACTGTGTTCTCATCCACAAATGTCACCATTGTCCTCTGCTGCCATGTTTGCCATCTTTACCAACTTCAGATTGATCTGATGTTATGGAAACAAGAAAGGGAAACTCATCAAGGTGAGAGAACTTTTCTATCTGCCAAATATTATTATTGTCAGTTTTGGTTTGAGAAAAGAGGTTCAAAAATTTTACTATTATGAAATTATGACTGTCTTGTGGATTTCTGTGATGTAAACAAACTGATTTCTTAGCACTTGTGGAGAAGTAGGTGTCCTCACTGGGAATCCTCAGAATATTTTCCTTGAGATGAGGATTGGGTACTTGGGATTAAGGAGGAAATACTGACGGAAAGGAAGGAGAAGTACAGTGAGAAAACCAGATACAGAATGGTTGAGGTAGCCAAGGGAAGTTCCAACTTTGACAGAATTATGCAAGGAGGTCTAGATTATAGTTGTATGTGAGAATTTGTCCACACATGAGGCAAGGAAGTTATACTTTTATAGTTCTATAAGGTAAGATATTGGCTAAGCGTTATCCATTGATTGGTGTTGGATGGTGCAATGGCTGACTATCATGACATACATCCATGACATAGGGAATTCAAGAGCCTCTAAATGAAGCCCAGCCATGTATCCTACAGCAGGCATTATCCTATAAGCACTACTGGGAAACAAATTGGTATTTGTGGAACTGAGGAGAGAAATCACAGAAGAGGTATGTATTTCATTCTCCACATAAAATTCTTAGTCATAGGGTCTTAAGGACTGTGATGTGTAGGTCCAGGACTAGTTAAGACTTCAAAGAAAAATTGGGAGGGAGATATTAGCACTTAAGTGACATGTGAAATTTGTAAAGTAGATTTGAACAAAATGCCTGTAGATTGTACATGAGCAGTCAGTGAATCTCTTTCAACATGCTCCTTCCCATGATTCTGGAATGTCTAATTCTGAAGGCATGTTGCACAAATATAATGAAGACTGAGGGTGAACATTCCCTAAGACCACCCAAGATTTGTAGAATCCTGTATTTATTTTGCTTCAATTTTTAAGAGTTAACTACCCAAATAATAACTACCCAAAGTGAACAGTGAATAATCTGAAAAATTCCACCTTTTTCATCTTCCTTTCTTGGCTTATAAACATAAAGGGGGGCTTTTTCTCAGGTTTCTCAAAAAAGCAAAAGAGTGAGTGAGAAATTGGCCCATTGACTAGATTGGGCAGGTCTACTTGGTGAATGTTGAGAGTAGATTTAACTTGGAGTGTCAGCAGTGACATACACTCTGTTTTCATTGTTGATTCTTTGGTTGTTTTACTCAGCTTTTCAAGACCCTCATGGAGAAGGCTCACCTAAGAGGACTTTTATAGGAGTGTGTTTTGTTTAAAATGATACATTATTCATATGAAGGGATATCTTGCATGGCCCCTGATGCATTTCTACTCAGGGGAAATGAGGACCTGAAGGAAAGAGTTCTAGCCAGATAGCTATAAAAGGATCTGGCAGAATATTATAGGGGCAGGTACAGAACATAAATTTTCTTACTACTATTGATTGCTCTTTTAGAAAACAATTGAGATGCCAGCCTTTTGGTAATTCTTAAACTCTTTAAATGTCATCCAAGTTACTATTTGGTCATGACTTTAAGTGCTGGGAGACCTCCTTTAAAATGCAATTCAGGCCAATTGCTCAAGTCAGGGCCACAATTAAACATCATGGTTATCTTTGGATATAATTAGGGGACATCTAAAATAAAAAAATAAATAGATAAATAATGACAATAGGGATAATGTCAAGGGAAAAATAAGGAAATGCTATTTCTGAATTGTTTACTGTGAGCAAAGATTGATGGTTGAAGATAGAAAAATTCACTAAAACTAAGCACTGTAAAACTATGACTGAAGCATTGAAGCTATAGAAAAGTGGATTTATGGCATGCTAAAGGAATAATATTTATACAAACTCTATATTAAAAAGTGGCATGGATCAAAAATATGGCTTGGTTTGTGACATTTTAGCCCTCATTTTATTATAGGTTTTGAGGTTTGAGGGAGAGCTTACCTAAGCATTTAAACTACTGGTTAAGTAATTTTATGTACATCTTTAGACTTTTATATGACTGATGAGAGCAATTACTCAAGTGTATAACACTAATGAGGATTCTGAGTCCTGGAATATTGTGGGCATTTGATAAAGATTTGTTGAATGAGTGAATGAATGAATGAATTTTCTATGAATTATGAACTTCCCTGAAAGGTAATAACAAGACCAAATGCTAAAACTATTTTTGTTGCATGAAATCCATAAAGATTAAGCAATCACCATCTATTTCTAAAATAACTTCAATCAGAAATCGGTCCAGTTAGATTTTACCTCCAAATTCGGAACTAGGCCGCATAATGGAGACTAGAATACTTTGCCTTTTACTGAACTGACAATATGTGGTTTCAATTATAAGATTATACAAAGCTAAAGACTCATAAGCCTTTAGATCTTTGTTCATGTTTGCTTCTCTTACTGTCCCTATTTCTTAATCGATTTGGCTAATGATTGGTTAATAGGGATCAAACAGGTTCACGCTTAGGGCTTCATCATTCTTGGTTCCTTACAAACCATGCACATCTTGTTTAGGTGATCCTGTCTCCCTTCTTGTGCTCCTGAAGCTTTCCATCACAACTGTATTCCTGTTGTGCCATAATTTCTTACAGGTGTATCTCCCTATCATGATGAGCTGTTGGAGGAAAGATCCTTTGTCTTTCTGATCAACACAGTAGGCTGAGATTTTTTTTTTTTAGAGTGCCATAACTGGTAGACAAAGACATACAAGAAACAATTGTTAAATAAATAAACTTCAGTGTCCAAGAATAATATTAGCTAGAGAATGATCTAAAGAAAGGCAATGAGAAAATTACTGATGTGGTAAATATTAATGTGGCAAGACAGCCATCAATGTTGTGAAGGTTTTTACAGCTTCTCCCTTCTTTTGCTTTGGTTGGCCCTTGCTTCTGGCATCATAAATCACATACAATAAATATTCTTCCTGTAGGTGGCAATATTTGAACTCCTCTTTTTGGGGGAGAGGTGGATGTCATAAGAACAAATGTATGGCACTTTGAAGACAGATAAGAATTTAATTTGGAGTGTGAGAAGAAGAGGCAGCATTCAGAACTGCACATTTATTTACTGGCATCATGGAGTCTCTCAAAAATGATGTCTAGAGCATTTGACATGGATGAAAATTCAGATTAGAAGAGTACTCAAAGATTGCTTGTAGAACAATCCCAAGCCACCCTTCATAATAAATTGTGGCCATTAAAATATGCATCAAGTAACTGTTATCCTTGTACTCGATACTTGCCAATTAAAAATCTATTATTTTATGTGCAGTATATTTGAAGCAGAAGCTATCATTCATGTTAGTTAGCAAACACTTTATTTTCAAAATAAGTAGATTGATATAAACATATAATGTGGCCGGCGCCGCGGCTCACTAGGCTAATCCTCCGCCTAGCGGCGCCGGCACACCAGGTTCTAGTCCTGGTTGGAGTGCCGGGTTCTGTCCCGGTTGCCCCTCTTCCAGGCCAGCCCTCTGCTGTGGCCAGGGAGTGCAGTGGAGGATGGCCCAGGTGCTTGGGCCCTGCACCCCATGGGAGACCAGGAAAAGCACCTGGCTCCTGGCTCCTGCCATCGGATCAGCGCGGTGCACTGGCCGCAGCGCGCCGGCCGCGGCGGCCATTGGAGGGTGAACCAACGGCAAAGGAAGACCTTTCTCTCTGTCTCTCTCTCTCTCTCACTGTCCACTCTGCCTGTCAAAAAAAAAAAAAAAAAAAAAAAACAAAAAAAAAACAAAAAAAAACATAATGTGTGAGAGTAGAGAATATTTTATACTGTTTTTTGAAAAAAATGGTGTCATATATTGTAAGTTAAAATAAACTTTTATTATTATACTTTAATGCAGTAAAATTCCCTCTTTTTTTACTTCTAGGAGTTTTGACAAATGCATAGTCATGTGATCACCATCTCAGTCAAGATATAAAAGTTTCCTCACTCCCCCAAATTCTCCAGTAACTTCGTAGTTAAGTTTTCCTTTCTCCCAAGCAATTTCTGATCTATTTTCTGCCCCTATAAATTTTTACTTTTCTAGAATGCCATTCAGCGGAATACTACAGTTTGTAGCTCTTTGAGACTGATTTCTTTCATTTAACATAATGCCTTTGAGATTTGTCTGTGTAGTTAGGTAAAGCCACACTTCCTTCATTTTTTTCCATTCAGCAGTATTCCAAATGCCATAGTTTATCCATTTACTTACTGAGGGGAAATTTTTTGTGATTACAAATAAAGGTGCTATAAATAGTCATGTTCAGTTAGTTTGTTTTTTGAAAATGTAAAATTTCCTTTCATTTGTTTTAAATAACTAGAAATAGGATTGCTTGTCATATAGTAAGTATTTAGCTATGTAAAGAAATTGTCAAACTCTTCCAAAGTGCTTATGCCACTTTCTTTCCACTAGAAATATAAAAGATTGTCAATTAGTTTGCTTCTTTTGGTATCATATTTCAAAATATTAAATATTCTTACAGATTTACAGTGTTACATCACTGTGGTTTTAATTTCCATTTTCATTTTGAGTGCTAATATTGAGTACTCTATTCTTTTGATCACTTTTTGATTTTCTTTATATTACTATATTTTATGTTATATATAGTATATATATATATGTCATATATTTATTTGAAAATCAGAGTTACAGAGGGAAAGAGAGAGAGAGAGAGAGAGAGAGAGAGAGAGCTTGCATCTGCTTGTTCACTCCCCAGATACCTGAAAGGCCAGGGTTGGGCCAGGCTGAAATCAGGAGCCAGGAGCTTCGTCTGGGTGTCTCACGTGGGTGGCAAGGGCCCAAACACTTGGGCTTTGTTCCACTGCTTTTCCCAGGCCTTTTGCAAGGAGCTGGATCAGAAATGGAGCAGCTAGGACATGAACTAGTGCCTATTTGAGATGCCAGCATCACAGGCAGCTTTACTTACTATGCCACAATGCCAGCCTCAAGTTCAATATATATTTTTGATACAAATTATTTTTCATATATATGAGTTGAAAATATTTCTTCCAGTTGTAGCTTGTCTTTTCATTGTGTTAACAGTGTCTGTAAAGGAGCAGATAATTCTCAAGTTTTTTTTTTTTTAAATTGTATGTATCATGTTTTTCTGTAATGATTGTGCTTTTTGTTGTCAAATCCAAGATTTCTTTTCCTAACTCCAGGCCACAAAGATTTTCTCCTCTGGGCTCTTTTATATTTTCATTGTTTTTAAATTAGATTTGTAATATTTGTTTAATTTTTTTACAAGGTATGGATTGAGGTTACATATATTTTACATAATTTTTCCAAAAAAGATCTTCTATTCATTCTTGAATACTATAGCAGGCAAATTTCTTTTTAAATCTTGAAAATGTGAAAGTTGGGTTATACATTTGGTGCAGAAGTTAAGATGCTGTTTGGAAAGCCTGCAGCCCTTATCAGAGTTCCTGGTTCTAATCCAGCTTCCTAGATGTGCGCCTGGGAAGAAGTACATGATGCCTCAAGTACTTGAGACCTTGAGATCCACGTGAAAGATCTGGATTGAATTCCTGGCTCGTGGCTTAGGTTTGGTCCATCTCCGGCTGTTGTGGACATTTGGGGGAGTGAACTAGTGATTCGATGGTCTCTGTTTCTCTCTCTGTTTTTCAAATACATAAATATTTTCTTAAGACAAGAAGAAATGTGAATGCAATTTTCTTTATAAATGGGAGATCTGAGAATCTGTTGAATGCTTGATGAATTCAATTAAACTTCCTGAGCTTTTAAATTTATCTAAAAATGTGGAAATATGCTAACAGAATTCTAAAATCTTTCTGTGCCCTTCCTTTACCTACTTTTTCCTATTCTTCCCCCATACATTTCTCAGTGGTTTTCACCCTCTCTCCCTTCCCTTCTCCCATTTCCCTATCTGGGCAGTAGATGGTGCTGTGCTGCAATACATCTATTTGGTGCTTTCACACAGTGTTTAAATAGAATATGTCATCCTGTAATTCCACACCTTATGCCTACACTTTGAGAAACTATCATTAAACTGTTGCTGTTCACACCCCGTGCTCTTGGAGGTGCAGAATCCCTGATAGGGGTCAGGTCACTGTAACTTGTATATATCTTCACTTCAAAACTTGTCAGGAGATAAAGGCTTTTAAATAAGAAGGAATTTAAAAAAAAAAAAAAAAAAAGCAATGATGGTGGTGACCCAGCAAGCCCACACTATGGTTCAATAGGACATTTGAGTTGATGTTTGTTTATCTGAGAGCAAAAATATGGATGGCCACGAAGAACCAGGGGCTAGGAAGCCCCTTTGCCCAAAATAAAATTGCAAGGTTAATGTGTTTGTGAACCACAGAGCCAGCTGCCTGTCCTTGCCCAATATGACTTTTGTGGTGGCAGCTGTTTCTACTGAGATTTGATGAGGACAGAACTGGAGGTTGTGGGATAGGAGGTTGTGGAAGTGGGAGATGGATCATAAGAATGAACTCTGGTTTCTTTAGAAAGGGAACCCATGGGATTTAGATAATCTCACTTGCACGTAGTGCGCGAGAAGAGGTGGGTATATGTGGTCACCAGCTTCGTATCCTCAGTTGATGAATTAAAAGTCAGGGCATGGGCTGGTGTCGTGGTGTAGCACGAGGTAAAGCTGTTGCCTGCTATGCTGGCATTCCATATGGGTTCTGGTTCGTGTTCCAGTTGCTCCACTTTTGATCTAGATCCCTGCTAATGGCCTGGGAAAAAGCAGCAGAGGATGGCCCCAGTCCTTGCTACTACATGGGAAACCTAAAGGAAGCTTCTGCCTCCTGGTTTTGGCTTGGCCCAGCCCTGGCTGTTGTGACCATCTGGGGAGTGAACCACCTGATGGAAGATCTCTTTCTCTTTTTCTCTCTGTAACTATGACTTTAAAATAAATAATCATAAAATAATAATGAGTGCTTAATTTTCCGAAAGCTTAACAAGCTTACATTTTACAGAAAAGGCACTATATTCACTTGCAAAACAATCATTTCTTATTTTCCTCTGGCCCAAGAACCCTGACGGTACTGGGTATTCACATTTCCTTTCACTTAGTTTTCCACTGGCCAAATGAAATGCCCATCTTGGACATCATCCTGGGATATCATGTAGAAATAGTAATGATATTCACTTGATAGGGCTTTATGGTTTCATGAAGCAATTCACACATATAGACAATTATCCCTTTCCTTAGAAAATAGAGATTCCAATGAAGACATTGGAGGTGAAAGTCAGAGAAGGTAATTGGGAAAGAAACGCATAGGCTGATGCTGTTGCTATTCAGGCTGGGATTTGGTGCAGTGGTTCGACCCTGCTTGGGACACCTGCATCCCATATTGGCATGCCTGCTTTGAGTATTGTTTCCACTTGTGGCTTTAGCTTCTTGCTGCGTGCGTCATAGAGGCAGCAGATGATGACTCAGGTACTTGAGTTTCTGTGACCCTGGTAGGAGACCTGGATTGAGTTCCAGGCTCCTGGCTTTGGCTTGGCTCACCAATGACTGTTGTGGGCATTTGGGGAGTGAACCAAGGGATGCAGGATCTGTCTGCCTGTCTCTCTCTCTCTTTGCCTTTCAAATGAAATGAAATGAAATACAAATATAAAACATGCACTAATGCTTACTGCTATTCTTGTGTAGATCTGCATGTGGGTGTTTCAACCTAATAAATCCAAACCTGAGCCTCTGATAAGCAACCTCAATTAGCTTGATTTCCTATCTTTTTCATCTTGATAAATTACAATGCTAACCTTTCAGTAGTTAGGCCCTCAAACTTTGAAGTTGTCTTTGACTCCCTTTCTCCTACCATGCACCTGAAATACAAGCAAAACCTATTGGTTCTGCTTTTAATATATATTCAAAATCTTAAAGCTTCTTACTGCCTTCCATGGTACATCTAAGTCTAATCAACCACTAATTCTTAGGAATTAGGACAGCAGTTTTCTAACAGATTTCCTTAATCTAATTTCAGCATAATAGCCACAGCAGTGCTATTAAGATATATGATAGAGGGGAACAGGCGTTGAGCAAGCAGTTAAGGTACAGCCTACAATGGAGGGTCAAATTCTATGCCTGGCTAAGTCCCTACTCTAGCTTCCTGCTATGCAGACCCTAGGAGACAGTGATGATGATTCAAGTAATCTGGGTTCCTGCCATCCCTGTGGGAGACCTACATTGCTTTCCAGCTCCCAGCTTCATCCTGATTCATGCCCAGTCCTGACTGGGCATTTGGGAGGTGAACCAGAAGATGGGACTTGTCTCTTTCTAAATGAAATTTTAAAAAAGGAACAAGTTATACCTTGTCATTGCATTGCCAGGAGTCTTACAATGGCCTTCTATTTCATACTGAAGAAGAGAAATGGCCTCCCAATGGCCATCAAAGCCCCATCTGACTGTCCTATGGACACTGTACTGATGTCCATCCTTCCTTTACTTATGCCACTTCAGCAGTCTTAGTGTTCCAAGTACCCTCCAGGTATGCCCCTGTGTTGGAATCTATTCACTTGTCCTTTTCCTTGAGTGATTTTTCCAGATCCAGATATGATTTACACTCTCATTTCCTTCACACTTTATTCATTGCCACCTTCTTACTCTGGCCTAACCTGGTTACTGAATTGAAAATTTGACCAATCCCTAACACTTCCTAACCTTTCCTTGGCTTAATTTTCCTCTTCAGCATTTATTACAAATGTGCTATAATTTGTGTTTATTTGTCTTGCTTAAGTTCCTAGAATACAAACTCCACCAGGACAGGAATTCTTGTCCTTTCAAAATATCCCCAGAGGCATTAGAAGAGCTTGACACATAGCAGGCACCTGACAACTGACTATAACTGACTGATAACTCATGAATGAATGAGTGTTCTCAACCTCACTCCCATGGCAAGTCTGTGGTTCTAGGAGAACCCCCAAAGAAGAAAGACTGGAGCTGGCACTGTGGTGCACTGGGTTAAGCCATGGCCTACAGTGCTGGCATCCCAAATGGGTACCAATTCAAGTCCAGGATGTTCCACTTTTTTTTTTTTTTTTTTTGACAGGCAGAGTGGATAGTGAGAGAGAGACAGAGAGAAAGGTCTTCCTTTTGCCGTTGGTTCACCCTCCAATGGCCGCTGCGGCCGGTGCTCTGCAGCCGGCGCATCACTCTGATCCGAAGCCAAGAGCCAGGTGCTTCTCCTGGTCTCCCATGCGGGTGCAGGGCCCAAGGACTTGGGCCATCCTCCACTGCACTCCCTGGCCACAGCAGAGAGCTGGCCTGCAAGAGGGGCAACCGGGACAGAATCCGGTGCCCCGACCGGGACTAGAACCCGGTGCTACAGGCATAGGATTAGCCTATTGAGCCGCGGTGTCAGCCCAGGATGTTCCACTTCTGATCCAGCTCCCTGCTAATGCATCTGGGAAAGCAGCAGAGGATGGCTCAATTGCTTGGGCCCCTGCACCCACCTGGGAGACAAAGAAGAAGTTCCTGCCTCCTGCCTCCTGCCTCCTGCCTCCTGCTTCCTGGCTTTGGCCTGGACCAGCCCCAGTCATTGTGCAGATAGAAGATCCTCCCCCTCCCCTCAGATCCTCTCTCTCTCTTTCTTTCTCTCCCTTCTCCCCCCCCCCCCCCCATAACTCTGCTTTCAGATAATTAAATCTTTGGGGGAAAAAGAAGAAAGGCTAATGCTCAACTAGATTCCTGGAATTAGAACATTTTCTGATGTAAGGACTAAACATTTCCAATGAACTCAATACTCCACTGTCACTTCATGAAAAATACAATTTCATGGTGTAACTCCTGGAGATTCTGATTCAATAGGTCTGAGAATCCATGTTTTTATGTGTTCCCAAACAATTTTGAATCTTAGCTTTATTTGAAGACCCACTGGCTTAGAGAACAGTTTCTCATTAACTAAAAAACTATTTATTGAATATATGCTTTGTTTTAGAAACTATGCCACAGAATGGCTGTGACCTGAAGCCTTGTAGGAGAGTTGGAGATGTAAAATTACATTTGCAATGTAGAATAATAAATGCTTTCTTGAGGCATTTATTAATTGCATGGGTTGCAGAAGACAAAAGAAGGATGGAACTGAAGTGGATCTGAAGAATTCTCAGAAGCAAATTCATGATGAAGAGGAGATAACAAGGCAGGCAAAGGATAGAAGACACTGTAGACAGGGAAATGTCTTGGTGTCTGAATTCGGGGCAATTGCTACATTCCTGATATCTGCGTAGAATATCTCCAAGTCATGCTCTAAATCTAAGGAATGGGGAAATGAGGCTGCCTTCCATTTTCCCAAAATATCTTCACCTCTCTTTTTCATAGCATTCTCTTCCAGGTGTCCAGGAGTCTAATGTATGTCTTGAAATAAGAAAACATGTTTCAAGGTTCTTTATTTAGTTTTCCTTTTAAAATGGTATGGTGAAGTCCCTCCTGATCTAAAGTAACTAATAGATTTCTGGAGTGTTCACATTTCAACAAAAAGAAGGCAGCCCTTAGTAATAAATGAAATCAGGCAGGCATTAGTGACAGCCAACAGGAAGAGATCCTTTTGGGTTTGAATCTACAATTTTTCTGATGTTACCTCATATTAGGAAGACCATAAGTTGGTGCAGAATTGATCTCTGGTGATTCTATGCTAATTCACCCTAACAATGGGGGAAATGGTAACCGCCATCATTTCTTCCAAACTTTGATGTAAGTCTGTATGTGTCAAATCAATAGTCCACATTTCTTTTTCTGTAAAGCAATAGGTAATACATATTTTATGTTCTGTGGGTCACTTAGTTTCAGTTAAAAGTACCCAATTATGTAATTATAGTGTGAAAGAAGCCATACATACCTAAATTAATTAGGGTGACTGTGTTCCAATACAACTTTATTTACAAAACAAGTGATTAGCTAAATTTAGTCTGCAGATCATGGTTTTCTGACCCCTGCATTAAATTTAAAGGAACCTCTTCTGTTCTTATTCTATTGGCAAAAGTCAGTCACATGTCCCCACTTAGAAGCAGAGTGTCAGAGGGATGGAATTTGGCTATGTGCCCAGGGAGAGAAAACTGTTGAGCATCTGGCCAGTTTCTGAAATATCACGTATCAGGTATAGTCTTCATTGGCATTTTACTGAGACAGACACACAGCTGTCCAGTTCCAACTTGCTGAAGGTCAAGAGTGTTCCTTTACAGGACATCATAGCACAAGTTTTCTAAGCAGCCCTCATAAGTTTTTATCTTAAAATTTTAAATATTTATTTTTTGTTTATTTGAAATGCAGAGAAACAGAGACAGATATAGAAATAAAGAGATCTTCCTTCTGCTGGTTCAATAGTTCTGCAGCTTGCAACAATAAAAAATCTGAGCAAATTGAAGCAAGGAGCCTGGAATTCAATTTGGTCTCTCACATAGATGGCGGGAAACCAAGAACTCAAACCATAACCTGATGCCCCCCTATCATGTGCATTAGCGGGAAGCTTGGATGGCGAACAGAGCTAGGACTTGACAGAGCTAGCCCTCTGACTTGGGTGTGGGTGTCCCAGGGAGCATTTTAGTGACTGTGACAAATGTCTAACCTACTCTCACATGTTTTCTAAGCTACTTTATCCTTTAGTTTGGGAAATGGTGGACATGTTTTGCTTAAAATTATCTTAGATCTGGTATAGATCAGGTTGAAAGGTTTTATTTCTAGGCACAAAGATGAGTGTTATCCCAGGAAGATGACTGAAGTACAACATAGTCTCTACTGGTAATGAGCAGTCATTTCTAGAGAGCAAAGGTAAGGAACACTCATTGTTAGCTCAACCTTCAAACATCAGCTGGGAGTGAATCTTCTTTGGGTATTGTTTTCCTTTCTTGACTCCTTCTGAAATCCCTGGAGATCGGTGGAAATCTTGTTCTGAAAATGTACATTCAAAGATCTAACTACGTTAGCAGCAATTTGTGATAAAATATGTGTTTCCTTGAATCTTCAAAAGATTTCCATTTAATATATTGCGAGCTCAGAAATAAGAGTTCTTTCAGCAGCCCTGTGATATAAGCAGAGAAGAGATTCAACTAAAAATTATATATACATAAGAGATGCAAGTGATCCTCACTATCCCAGCTCTCAAATTGTCATATTTTATGATTGTATGATAGAAGTAGTACAGTAAGGACTATAATCCTGCACTCTTCCCCTTACATCTGGGAAACCCTGGAGACTTGTTTTGCCCAACAAAATGTATTGAAAGTGAGAGTGCAGACTTGTACCATCTGCCCTTTCTCAAAACCCCACTGCTTCCTTATGCAAAAGCCAGAGGGTAGTCCAGGGGAAGATAAGAGAGAACAAGGAGTATGGAACAATTGTCCCAGCTGATGCTTTCCTGGATGTACCAGCCTGTCAGTGCCTCAAGATTCTGACAGAGCCCAGGAAGGCATTGCTTAGATCAGCAGGATGGCCTGGTTGAATGTATGTTTATGGAGCTGTTTGATCACTTATGTGTGATATTTATTGTAAGAGAAAACTTTGATCATACAGGCTTGAAAAGCAGAATTTTATTTGTATTGCAGTTATTGGAAGGATGACATTAGGTACAAGGCATGTGCAGTGCTTCAAAATGACCTATGTGACTGAGTTATCACAATTTCCACAGCGAACATAATGTGCTGGCTTTTATTCACTCATTAGTAACTACCTAGTTGCAAGATGGATGGTTCATTTCCATTATATAATGGTGTTCAAGGTGTTTTGAAGAAGATGGGCAAAGAGAAGGAGAGTAGTAGCTGTCCCTTTTTCTAGAGAAGTGACAGCCTTTCTAGAATCCTCATTTTAGCAGTTTTTTGTTGATGTTCCATTGGCTGGATGATGCTACATGGTTATCCTTTGGCTGGAAGGTGTTTAGGAATGAGGAATCTGTGTGACTGCCACAGAAAGAAATATAAAACTGCTGGCAGGTTATGCATAATGATGTTATTTTTCAGGGAAAGCTTCACAAAGTCAACAATATTGGGCATGACAATGAACTCAGGTGGAAAAGATGGGAAGGTATTCTGCAGGGGGAAGCTACACATATCAAAGTTACATATAGTAACAAAGCAATATATCCATTTCAGAAATTCAAAATCTGCAGTCAAGGCCCATAGAAGCACAAATATTTGCTCAAAATAATAAAGCTGTAAATTGAGTAGACAGGTCTCAAAAGCACTTCTTCAGATGTATGGTCCAGGGTCCTAGGTGGCCTTGCAAAAATGGAAACAATTCTTATGATCTTTGAGTATTTTGTCCATGTGCCCTTTATTACACTGAAATGTACCTATTTCTTTTCACCAAAGAGTAGACCAGAGAGCCGTATTGTTATTAGCTAGTGAATTTGTGCACATTTTACCACAATTTTCTGTAGAACACTGCCAAAATCATTACTCAGTTACTCATAAAAATCACCTCTGATTCACCCTGTCCATGCATATGAGCTCTCTCACATCTATTACATTGCAGACATCTATTCATTTTACAATAATAACCCTGTATATCTATTGCATTCATATCTGCCAGTTTAAACCCCCATTACCATGAGAGATTTAAATGCAATAACTTAAATTTTTGCCTGTTTCCTTGGGGCCCCTCAAGTCCATCCTGCATCTGAACTTTACGTGGGTCTTTCTAAAACAAAGCTCAAGTCAGGAAGACACTGGTCACACCATCTATCTATCACTACACTGCCTGAAATTCACTCCAGAAATTTTTGTACCTTTTTATTTTGGGAGATACAGCATCTAGAGTTGCCAGGTGTAGTAGTTTCAGTTCACTTCTCTTGTCATTGTGCTCAATCCAATTTAATGTTTGTCTTGCCCCTTTTTATTTTCAAAATGCAGCCAGTTTGAATGATCAATGATATGATCATTCTATACTTTTATCTCCTTTTTTTTTTTGGTAGACTTTATCATTCTCTGAAAGTATTGACCTATTTTTGAAGGACTTGTGTAGAATATTATCCTCAGTGTCTAAATTTCCCTCTCCAAAATTTATTTATTTAATTTATTTGAAATGCAAAGAGACAAGTGACATAAAGAGAGACAACTTTTTTATCTACTGGTTCATTCCCCAAATGCCCAAAACAACCAAGGCTGGGCCAGCCTGAAGCCAGGAGCCCAGAACTCAATGTGGGTCTCCCATGTGTGTGGCAGGAGCCCACTCACATGAACTATCATCTGCTGCTACCCAGGTTGCACATTAGCAGGAATCTGGAATTGAAAGTGGAACTGGTATTTGAACTCAGGCCACATGAAATGTGGGCATCTCAAGCAGGGTCTTAACCCCTTTGTCAAATGCCAGTTCCTCCTTTTATCAGGTTTACATGAAAATGAAAGATGTGTGTTTGCTAATGGAAAGAAGGGATATGAGGGATTGCCCAGCAAGCGGGAAAAGATTTTTAACTAGCGGGAAAAGTTAGGGAGACTAACTTATTTTGTATTTAAACTTTGTGATTATCCTAATGCTTGTCACATTTACCTCACATTGTTGCTCCTACTGTTAGATGTAAAGAAGGATATTGTATTTCTTGATCATAGGAGGAGTGATGGTGGTTTTCTTATTTCCTTTGGGTTTGAAGCAGGAGACAAACTGAAGAAGTGAGAAAGAAAGATGAGTTTTGTGGACTGTTTAGGAGGCAGCTTACTCTGCAAATTCACACGGGATATCAGTCATTTTTCATTTCGCACAACAGGAGAGAAGAAAGACTCTGCTAGAGTATCTGTCTCAAGTCAGGGAGCATGAAGAACATCTATGAAGAAGTGTTGCACTGACCCTGAATCATTAGAATCTGTCTCCCCAGAGATGCCTGTTGTTAAGTTGTACTTGGAGTCTTAATGATCTCTGCAAATTTCCTCAGCAATATGGATCATGGGAAGTCAACCATGATTTTATCATTACACAAAGTACAACCCACACACACACTCAGATCCAGTGTGTGTAGTGTCTGTGCCAGTGATGGGGAGAAAGAATCCCAAGCAAATCCCAGGATAGATAGGTAGTCTATCCTTGCAGAGGAGATGCATTCTCATCTGCAGAGAAGATGGGGACACTTAAAATTATTACCATAGAAAGAGTTCGAGAAAGGATCATGGGGCGGGTGTCTGATGCTGTGGTAAATGCATCCGTTGTGACACCAGCATCCCATATTGAAGTGACTGTGTTCAAGTCCCAGCTTTGCTCGCAATTCCAGCTTCCTGACAGTGAGTACCCAGGGAAGCAGCAGGTAATGACACAGGTAGCTGGGTTACTGCCACCCACGTGGGAGACCCTAATTGAGTTCCACTCTCTTGGTTTCATTCTAGATCCATCCTGACTGTTGTAGGCATTTAGGGAGTGAACCAGTGGGTGGGAAAATCTGTCTCTCTGACTTCCAAATAAAAATTTTAAATATTTTAGAATAAGAAAAATGACTAGGAGGAATTGGAATCACACCTAATGTTGGAGGTCATTCTAGATAAGAAAATCAAGCTTGAATTTTTGTTTAGTGCTTTTCTTGTAAGAAAAAACTAAGAATAAATAAGTGACTGAATGTTATCTGATAAGAAGTTCTTGCTTTTTCCTACTTCTGGCATAGTTCCTCCTACTTTAATTTTTTTTTTTTTTTTTTTTAAGAGAGAGGACTCAGTATAGCCGGAAAACAGATACATAGGAAAAGGGATTTACCAAAGGCAACAGATTTTTTTTTAAGGTGTAAGGTTGAACTATGCCTTTTGAAAGCCAGAGACATGCACAGATTATTAGGTTATGGGCACTTGGGCCTTTCTTGTCAATTTAATATTTTTTGAAGTTTAATGTCTCAGCAGTGAAAGGAAACAGAAGCAGCTAATTCTGACCCTAAGAGTTCTTTCCTGACCCCTTGATACCTAGGCACAATAGGGTGACTTCAGAACTCAGTTAAGGCCTTAAACTCTCTATTTCCTGTCTTTTGTTAGCTTTAATCTGACACTTAAACATACTTCAATGTGGACTTTTGTGTGGGAATGCTTTTGATTTTTTTCCCTCCCAAGAAACCCTAGCCAAGAGACAGAAAACTAGGATGGATTTCTAATCATATGTAGTCTGTATCTTAAGAAGTGATATGCTGTTTTTAAAAGTCCTGAGGGCTACACTGTCTTAGGGCAAATTTGTACTCCCAGTCCTCTGAAGTGTGGATGTCTCCATGAGAAACTCACATACTGAATGGCTCCAGGGGCCACATTCTGTTTTCTGTGAATGGAGGTTGAAGCTGAGGTTCTTGGGTTTGGGAAAGTGAGAACTGTTCCCATTCTATGGGATGGTGTGGACAGCCCTATCAAATGCACACATCTTGTTGGGTGTGCATCTGTGGGGGCTGGGGAAGGCAAGAGCTCCTGCACAGTTGAGTAAAGTCTCCCCTTGAGCTCCCTGACCTAGTTACCTGGTCAGTCATTTCAGCCACTCATCTGTCACCTATGACTAATGGGCCATTAGATTTGGAATATTCTTTTGCTGATTGTGGTCTGTTTAGCTGCCTTTATTGGGAGAGGTTCCTATTTCCACTTTAGTGACTGGGACTGTGTCTGGCAGTGAGGGGAGGAGTGGGATGATACATAGACTTCAGTACAGAGAATGATGGAAAAGCAAATAACAGGCCAGAGTGAGTAACAGTGATTCAAAGAGTTAAGCAACAGAGTTCACATTGCAGTATTATGACCATGGGTTTAATAGAGTGTGATACATGCTTGTGACACAGAAGCCTATAAATGCTGAATTACTGAATGGAAAAATATATTGTTACAATATATCAGTTATATTTTAGCACATATATGTTGCATTTGTTTATATGTATACTTATATGTACATGTGATTGTGTTCATAAACTGGAAAATCATCTGATTTAAAGGGCTCACCTTTATTATTCTATTGGTGTTCTAATTCAGTGTTACCACTTTGACAGATTTATCAACTTCATTTCCACATTTGTTTACAACTGTCACATTGTTTATTGGAAAACATTCTCTGTATTCTATTAACACATACTCAACTTTTACTATTTGGTAGTTCATGCAAAGATACAATGTCAGAAGATACTCCATCTGAGTGTTAAAACATAATTTTGAAAATAGTAAAATTATGACCTATGTAAATATAAAGATATATCAAAGACTGCATTCACTTATTATAAGCAACACAACCAGTAGGATGTTAAAATTGGTTCCAATGAGACTTTGATTTACAGGAATTTATAGGATTCAGCTGTGTGGTTGTGGTAGGAATCACTCACATTGCAAAATAACTATACCCACAGATCTAAAATAGCCAAGGTGTATTTTTGTTTTTGTTATCTTCAAGTCTTGGAGTACATTTTCTTGATAATAGGATGTATTGATTTGTTCATCACTTCAAATGTTTTGGAGACTGTATTATGAGTGTAAAGTCAGTGTCCATAGGTGAATTTGAGAAGGTACCTGTTATTTAGGAGCTCGTGTATACACGGAGAAGGGGAAGCACTCAGATAACTATAGTTCATTTGTGAATGTGAATATAACCTTGTTAAGTCATTCTTTTGTGGAAAGGCCTACATGACTCTGTAGAAGCAGAATTGAGCAGATCTTCCTAGTTAAAAGGTAGAGAAACCCCATCAGCACAAAGGAACTAGTGACCAAGGATTGAAATATCAGCTTTTCATTTTATCTAGGGAGAAAAGAAAATGAAAAGGCTCAAGGTGAAAAAAGAAAGGCATATTTATGGAAACTGCAAATATTGAAAAATCAGGTACTGGGGAAGATTGTGCATGGGTGGTAAAGATCCTAAGAGGCAGGACTTAACTGATAAACCATAGTATGCCTAAAGAGCTGGAAGACTAGTGCTGAACTTTAAGCAGGAGTGATCGAATCACTTCAATGTTTAAGACCATACCGTGAAGCAATTTAAATCTGTAGCAGGAAAGTTAAAATGCTAAAACCCAGTTGAGGACTGTGGGGGAGGACAGGACCAGAACTCCTTTCTCCCACCATTCTAGCACCTTCAGAGTCATGCTTGATGCTTGTTTGTTAGCAAAGGGGCTTCTCCTTCATCTCTGCCCTCTTTTCTTTGTCCCTAATTTTTTCCCTTTCTCTGCCCTCCTTTCTTCATTTGTCCCTTCCTTTCCATCTTTCTCTCTTTCTGACCTTGTTTCCATGAAGTTTAGTGACTGAGGAAACACCTGTTGCATGTCTTGTGTTTTGTGATCCCTTGTGTAGAATTAGAGTGATTCTAGGCGGTACTCTGATTCTCAAGACAGTCCTGGATAAACAAGAATACATTCCTACTCTCTGATTCTCATTTTAAAATCAGCTGCTAAAGCACCATGACATCATCCTAGGCAAGGTAAATACAACTGCACAGTTTACTGCTTTATGACTATGACACGCTGGGCCAGGTTTCCTGAACCCTCTCTGGACTGGACACTCTTTGCTCTCATTGACAAAGCACTCAGAGGTCACCTCCCAGGATGAGTTATTTCCACAGATGGCTAATTTGGTCCATTTGTCTCAACTTGTGCTAATTTCCTTCCAGAGGAAGAGGGTTTTCTGATCATATTAATTTTCCATCTAAGTAGTAGTGGTGGTGGAGGGAGCTAGTAGTGTATTTATATGTAACTTTTTAAAGATTTATTTTATTTATTTGGAAGAGTTACAAAGAGTGTTAGAGACAGAGAGAGAGAGAGAAAGAGAGAGAGAGAGACCTTCCATCTGCTGGTTCACTCCCCAAATGGCTGCAATGGCTGGAGCTGTGAGGATCCAGGAGCTTCTTCTGGGTCTCCCACTTGGGTGCAGAGGCCCAAGCACTTTGGCCATCCTCCACTACTTTCCCAGGTGCATAAGTAGGGAGCTGCATCCAAAGTGAAGCAGCCAGGACTCGAACTGAAGCCCAAATGGGATGCTGGGGCTACAGGCGTGGCTTTAACCAGTTGCTGCACAGCACTGGCCACTATATGTAACTTTCATTTGTTACCATGGCTCTATCAGAATGCCCAAGTTCATCAGTGAGAAAGACTTTATGCAAGTGTCCAGATAAATTCAACCTCATTAAGATAACCCACATTGATGTGTGAAAAAAAATGACCAGTCCATTAGAGCTTGATGGTTTTGGAAATTAATAGATTATAAATGAGAAATATTGTCAAATTATGTAAATTTGGAGTATTATGTAGACGGAAAAACACAAAAGGACCTTTGTTTTTTCCCAATGTGTCAAAAGAACATTTATTACTCTCATACCAGCTTCTCATGATTTCTTACCAGATGCCTTTAGAGCAGGTGCTTTCTGGGCAGGAGTTTTCTGAAGCTTTGGAGAATGAGGAGATGGAGCTACCTTCTGGTCTGTCATTTTCTGGGCAGGAATTTCCTGAGCTGTAGATTTTTGGGCTGTGGCCGTCTTGTGTGTATGTATGGTCACTTTTTTTTTTTTTTTTGGTGGAGTTTTAGTAGCTACAGCAGCAGCAACAGCTGAACAGATACAGCACACAAAAGAAATTTAATAGGAAGGTGTTTGATCAATGAGTACCTACTTCACAGAAAAATAAAATCACTTTTCACTCTATGATAAGGTAACAGTAATTCTAGGCTCATCTAAAATAATGACCTCATGGTTGTGATGGCTATGAAATGCTCATTTCATAACTATTCTAGATTCAGTTTTGTCCATGTCTGAATTAGGGAGTCAGAGTAGAGTAGGCATAGAGGTGAGCTAAGCCTTCAAACATTATAATGTTATTGTCACGTTATTCTAAGTACAACAGTTAAAAAAAAACCACATTATTCCTAGCAGAGAAAAACATGCAAGTAATATGTGCTTGTGATACAAAGATAACACCCGAAATCAAAGTAAGTAGGATTGTAACAGCATGACATTCAGTGGTACAGAGCATTGTAAGGTAATCGTGGAACTTCCCTTCCATAGCTTCAGGACTCTTAGTTCCATTAATTTTTTTTTTTCCTCAGAGGTAATTAAGGTTAATTTCTTGTCTCTTTCTGAAGCTTTTCTTAGGGCATTGTGTTAATTAAGGTTCTCTTGGTTTCAGGCCAACAAAGCAAAGTAAAACAAAACAACTTTCTGGCTGACTTAAGCCACAAAAGAGAATTCACTAGGAGGATGGAAGAATACCAGAGTGTTTTGAGGAATTTGAGCAAGACTAACCCCTGTAGACTTTGGAAATGGTAGGCTAAAGGAAAGTTAGGAGACATCGCAGCACCGTATGCCAGAGGATGCCACTGATGTGAGTTGACTACAAAGCCTCTGGCACTTCTTTAAATTTCAAATATGATTGACCAAGCTAGATTGGGCCTGAGAGCTGTGGTATAGCTGGATATGTAGGGATTAAGGAATGGGCAAATCTCACAGGGCAGGAAGCTGAGGAAATTGTCTGGTAAGAGCGAATGGTATCTTGGAATACAGAAACTCCATAAAGTGTATTGTACATAAGTATATCTCTTTTTACTGGCAAACTAAACACAGACCCATAGTGGATGTGCTGAATTCTGAATTGAATATCTTTTACATTTTAATTTTCATTGAGGTCAGGGATGCTTTTCATAATTGATGCTATTTCAGCATTAGCTATAGTTTCATAGACCCATTTTTCTTTCTCTGTTGCTTATAAAATAGCAAAGTTTCTCCATTTTGGCCTTCCAGTGACTTCTGCACAGGTGGCAAAAATACTGTTTGCTCCTCAGCCAAGTGTCAGTTATATTAGAATTGCACACCTGGCACTGTTTTTGAGAATCCCTAAGAATTGATGCCTGAAATTATGTTCATAGAAAAGCCTCTTAGCTAATACAAATAGATCAAATATTATAGATAAACCCTATGGGGCTTTATATTAAGAGCAAAATACAATGCTTGGTGCTTTGGGTTAGAATAAAATGAAGCTAATCTCATTATGATAAGATAATTACAGATCGAGACCATGATTTTGATCTAGCCTCAGTAACAGTGAAAGAATAAATCCCTCTTGTTGGGAAGCATCATTTTGTGGTTATTTTTTTTTTTACAACAGCTCCTGCAAACTGACATCCCCTTGGAGAAGTATATCATCCTATTATTCTTATTTGCTTAATTTAAATGAGTATACATTTATTTTAAACTGATAACATTATAGCTTTTAAATCATGTATGACATGATATATTGAAATATGTATACAAAGAGGATCTGCTAAATCTAGCTAACAAATGTATTATTCCACATAGTAATTTTTGTGGTGAGAGCACCTAACATCCAATTCATATCCTGCAAGAGTAGAACATATATCCTTCTCAACTGGCTATGGAGTTACATACTGACAATCCATCGTAAGTTGAAAATGCATTTGATGTAAGTAAACTACCAAACACCGAATAATAGCCTATTGTACCTTAAACATGCTCACAACATTTCCATTGACCTCAGGTTGGGCAAAATCATCTAACACAAAGTTTATTTTATAATAAAGTTTTGAATATCTCATGTATTTTATTGCATACTGTAGGTACAGTATTTTTTCCACATCCTAATACTTGTTATCTTTTATCTTTTTAATAATAGTCAATCTAATTGGGATGGGGTGATATCTGAATGCAAGATTGCCACAAAATATGTGGAGAAAGGAGGTGGATGTTTGGCAACAAGGTTAAGAGGCTACTTGGATGCCCACCTCCCCTATTGGAACACATGGCCTCTTTTGCTTCCAGTTTCCTGCTAATACACACCATCGGAGGCAGCAGGTGAGGATTTAAGTGCTTGGGTCCATAACACCCATGTGAGAAAACTAGATTGAGTTCTTGGCCCCTGGCATTGGCCTGATCCTGCCCTGGCTGTTGTGGGCATTGGGAGAGTGAACCAGCAGATGAGAGATCTCTTTGTCTCTGTCTTAGGCATGATAAACAAGACTGTAATCCTTAGTTTTGCCATTTGAACAGGACATGCCCAGTGTTGGCATTGATGATGGAGAACTAGATCATGATTATGGAAGGATGGGACTCAAGAGGTGAGAGGAAGAGGGAAAAGATCAGCACATTCAGTCAATCAGTTGTAGTAGTAAAGGGATAGGGAATTAAGGATGAAAGCGGAGTAAATGTCTATAGGGAATGAAAGTTAGAGGAGAATGCTCTCTTGCTGTTTTGAAGAAAGTACCTTGGGAGTGGTTTTCATACCTATGTCACTGATTGAGAGTAGAAAAGAGATTTTTGTCTTAAAGTAATATTGGATGTCCTCTGTCCTTTTCAAAGAGTTAGTAAATGCAAATTGGGGACCAGTATTGTTAAGCAGTGAGTTAAGCTGATGCTTGCAGGGCTGGCATCCCATACTCAAGTGCTTGTTCTAGTCTCAGATGCTCTGATTCCACTCCAGCTTCCTGCTAGTGCACCTGAGGATAGAGGGGAAGATGGCCCAAGTACTTGGGCTCTGCCATCCTTGTAGGAGACCAGGATGGAGGTTCTTGGCCCCTGGCTTACCTTGGCCCAAACCTGGCTGTTGTGGCTATTTGAAGAGTGAACCAGTGGGTAGAAAGATTCCCCCCACCCCCACCCCGTGTGTGGGTATATGTGTGTGTGTATCTCCCTCTCTGTCACATTACCTTACAAATAACTAAACCTTTAAAAGAGGCAAATGGGGTGGGTGTTTGACTCATTGGTTAAGACACTCTTGGGATGTCCATCTCCCATATCAGTATGTGTGAGTTCATGTCCCAGTTTATCTTCTGATTTTAATTTCCTGCTAGTGTGCACCTTGGGAGACTACAGATGATGGCTCAAATACTTGGGTTCCTGCCACCCACATAGGAGATCTAGAATGAATTTTAGGCTGCTGGCTTTGGCCTGCCCTAGCCCTGGCTGTTGCAGGCATTTGGGGAGTTAGCTGACAGATTCATTGTTTCTCTCTCTCTCTCTCTCTCCTTCATAAAATAAATAAATATACAATTTTAAAAATATGTGGGATACAAACTCTATAAACCTAAAATTTAGAATACAAAATTTAAAAAACACAAATAACTTATTTTTAGAGTTCTTATTTTTGTACAGACTGTGTTCATTTGACTCTAACACTTCTCTGAGCTGAATTCAGCCATATAAAATAGTAGATCATTTGTGGGAAGAAGTGTCGGATACTATGGGACTTTGGAAAACACTTAATTCTGCTTCAAGTGGTATATCACAAGAGAGACATAGTTGAGATAAGAATTTAGATTCTCAGATCCTTGTCTATATCATTCTTCCATAAGTCACATTTCGTCTGGTCTTTCCTCAGCATATTGAATTGAAATATTTTTTCAGTGCTTTCTGTTTTCTACCTATGTTTATGATTAAGCTGTTTACTTCCTGATGGACCCCTTCTAGTCTATATTCCTAAATGAAAGCTCTCAGATAATATCAGTGATGCTCAAACACCAGGCCACAAAATCCATCTTTTGCCTGAATTACTCTCAGTTCACAGTGTGCAGGAAGGGTGGCCTTCAAATGTTCAGAATGTACTCCTGGAGAAAGATAGGAGGGTACATCTAGCTTGAACCACTAGAAAGGGAGAAATGGACTTACTGGAACCTGGAGGTGATGAGTGTGCCTTCTTCACCTCTATGGAAATTTGGTTCTGATTCCCATTTTAAATCAAGAATACAGATTATTTTCCAAGACCCTTTACGCATACAGGTGTGGCAGTATTAACACATTATTTATGTTAATAATTCAATGTTATCTCTCATAACTAATATGCTGCAAATATTGAGCTAAGGAGCAGCTGCATAGCTGCTCATATCTGAAATAAACAAAGAGCTAGTGTCTATGAAAAGAAAGAGCTCAATTCATAACAAAACTGCATATATTTCTAATATAGGAAATATAGTGGCTTTGCAAAGTTCTCTCTAGGACAGTGGGAGATGTTATTTTACACACTCAGCATTCACCAGATGTAACTTTCCAAACAAAACCCATTTCAAATATTTTAGGGATTTTTTTCTTCTGTTTTGTTTTTACTTTCCTTAAACTGGATGACTAAAGACTGCTTTCTGTAGGTCAAGCATTTGATTGACAGCAGAGCTCTAATTCGAGCAGTCAGAAGGTATCAGGAAATGGTGAAGACAGGAAGAAACAGCAGAACATTGGGCAGGAAAAAGGCCAGGAGCCCTGGGCTTGGGAGTCTTGCCATATATCAAAAGTGGGGGTTGAGGAGGCTGGGGATGAAGTGGAAGAGAGCCAGGGAAAGGCAAGTGATGGTGGGAAGTTTCGAGGAAGAGAATGGGAACTGGGGGAGGGGCAAATGGAATGTTGGCACTGTACTGGGCGAGCCAGAATTTTTTCTGTTGGGGTCTGCATGCTGGAAACCTGCCAAGGCTTGGTCCTAAACTTAAGCAACCAAGTTGGTTGAAGGAAAAGCTATGACGGAGGTAAAGGTTGTTTCCAACTTTCTGCCATTGCTTTTCAACACCCCTTAGCTCTTTTTGGCAGATTCTCTCCACCCAGGTGTCCAGTCTCTCACCCTCCCTTCTTCTGAACTGCAGCGCACATGGTCACCCACATTATAGTAATCACTATACAACCTTCATACACCAGACTTTTCTGTCCTAGTTTTTCTGCCTCCCCCAAATCTGGTTCCCCCTTTGTGTATGTCCTTGCTGGAGTTAATTTGACAACTGATTGGAGTGAGGTGTCAGTGGCTGATAATGTCTCAGGGTTTCCTCCTGTTTTGGCCACATTTGTGCTGTTCCTAACACAGGAAAGGGGGGAATCCAAGGGAATTGGGCAGGAAAGAGGCCTTTCCTTGAATCCTTCAGATTACACCCTATTAATTTTTGTCCATGAGTAAGAGCCAACCCTGAGAGTGTGGTGTAGTTGTTAGAGTATCTGTGGTTTAGGAGAAATAAAGGGAAGGATAAAGACCTCTAGGAGGAAGAATCCATCAGAAGTTGATGAATAACAAAGACCTATGGGATCTGGGTGGGCCTACATTAGCAAGTGTCTATCAACCAGCTTTGGGGGATACACATGCAACATGTGAAGGACTTGTTGAGTGGCTGAGGTTATTCCACAAGCCATTAGCCACTTAAAAAATAAAAACATGACTGAGCTAAGGATTTCACCAAGATAGTTCCTCCTTTCTCCTACTCTGAGTGTAGCCCAGCCTTCCATTGTGCTAATGCTCATTGGTTCTGTTACTAGTCTAGGGATGGAAAAGGTTGCTTAGGAGTCAGCCAAGACACTCCCTCTGTTTGGGGGAGAAGGAGCTGCCAGCTGGGCCATCCGCTTCCTGCCAGCTTAAGGAGTTTATGACTCAGATTCAAGCAAAACATTGAACTGAAGCAGAAAGAGAAGGAGGGAACCTCAGCTCTGTTGAAGGCTCCAGGGCCAAACTGCATCACCAAAACATTCAACTCAGAAGGCAATGTGATTTTCTGTTTGTTCTCTGCTTTGAAAACACACCCATATATATACATGCAAACTCACACAGAAACACTTCCCCCAGAGCTGGAATTCTGAGGCTGTTTCACACTCCTGTAGGAAAAGCCACTCTTGGAAGCCAGCATGACTCTGAAGAATCCCTTGGGTTCTGTGATAGCAAAAACGTCCCGAGCAGATGTTATGACTCAGCTGGTGTGTCCAGTTGCTCCTCCTTGCCTTGTGTCACCATCATTTCCACTCCTTACAGAGGGAGGTGTTGGGAAAAGACTACCGACACTTCTTGGTAATAGCACTGCAACCCAGACATATGTGTTTCTAAGTCTTCTGTGGTTCCGGTAGCTTCCTGGATATTGCTCTGATGGCTGAGGTTCTGCCAATGTTGACTTGCTGGTCATGTGAAAGCCAAGTTCTATCCCTGAGGAAAGGTACTGGATGAATTAGAGAGATTTCTATTCTTATTCCTTCTTCCATTACTCATGGACATACCCACATCCCTCCCCTCAGCTCTTTGTGAGTAAACATTAGTCATTTCCCTCCAAGTGCCTTACCTCCATGCCCTGGGATCTCTTTGATTTAAGTTCAAAGTACCAGACTGTAACCTTTCGTGTTAAGTATAGTTTACAGTGTGACTCTTTCATGTATGATCATATATAGCATTCATACTCTTCTTGAAATTCAACTTTTATCCATCTCACTACCTTTCAACAAATCCTAGCAACTCTCTTAGTCCCCTATACAGCACCAGATGACTTAGTGAGTTCTGGTAGTTTTCTCAATATGGAATCAATTTCAGTTCCAGTTTCATTTCTCTTGGTATCATTCCTCTTTAAACTGGACTGGTCTACTTAATCACCAACCCAACATAATCACTCCTCTCTTCAAGAGTTCCTCTTTTGACACCTGCCAAATCCCATCCATTCTTAAAACCCAAGCTCATGTCAGTTCATTGTTTTCATTTATTTTTATTTATTTTGTCTTAATTTGAAACACACACACATACATAGAGAAAGAGAGAGGGATAGGAAGAAGAAGAGGGAGACGGAGAGGGAGAGGGAGGGGGGAGAGAGAGGCAGAGAGGTGGGGGGAGAGAGGGAGGGGGAGAGAGAGAGAATGTGTCTTCCATCTGCTGCTTCACTTTATATGTCAGTAATAGTCAGGGCTGGGCCAGGACCGACCCAGGAGCATGAAATCAATTTGAGCTTCCCATATGGGTGGCAGGGACCCAACTACTTGGGCAATAGCCTGCTTTCCTCCCAGGGACTTGAAACCAAAACTAGGGCTTGAAACCAGTCGCTATGATATGGTATGAGGATTTCCCACATGATGTTTTAACCATTGTGCCAAAAGCCTGCCCCATACCTATTTGTTTTTCAAAAATGCTGGCACTGTCCATCTGGGAACTACCTAGGCTGAGATGGAGGGCTACTGCCTCTTTAAGATTACAGTGTACTTCTCTAATTGGTTACCTGTGAACTTCATCATTAATATTATTCCCAGATACTGGAAGCAGCACTTCCCAGTGGCTTCATAATTGGTTTTCAATGAGGCTCTAATACTAATTAGTTCTATGTATTTAGCTCTTGCTCTCTAGAGGTTTCTCAGTAAATATTTGCTGTCTAATAATTTGTCTACCACATTTTTAGAGCATTGTCTATTTCTGTGGAATGGAAAGCCAGGAACTTAATTAGTAATTCAGAGTCAGTGGCTGAAATTTTCCAAATAGCTTCAGGTGGAGAATGAGACAATTAAAGAAATGGAAATGGGTAAACTATAGCTTTTACATGCATTTATAAGTAGACAACAATTTATATTTTTCTTGATGGGAAGGACACCAGATATGTTGAAATAAACTATTTTTTATTTCACAGTTAAATTAATGAAGACTTAGGAAAGTTGATTGTCTTACTCAAATCCGGACAGTTGGTCATTGACAGGACAAGAATACACATCTCCTAACTTCCAGGTGAATGAAATCATCCTATTAAAACACAGCTTAATTCTGGAGTCTAACTGAGACCAGTTACTTAATCTTGATATTTCATTATGGTTTCCCAGGAGCCAAGAGGACAACATTCACCACAGTTAGGCAACTTAAATAATGTTGCCAAAGTTCTTTACATTCATTATAAAATGGTAAGTAAAGAAATAAACATCGCTACAGTTACCATGGAGTTAAACTAAAATTTCAACATATCCTGTTGAAAGGGCTTGATCTCTCCACTTCAGATGTAATTACCAACGTAAAGATTGTGGTAGGAGAGACGCCTGGGAAGGAGTCAGCTTTTGTGCTTTTGTGAACCCTGGACATCTAAGAGTTGCAATGTCATTTCATACATTTATTAATTTTGGGCTGGGTATGGTTTGGAAAGACTGTATGATTAGACTGGCTAATATGGAGGCAAAAGAAACTATTTTTCCTTCATCCTTTGGGGTGATGCAGTATATACAAAACTACTTTTTTAGTGATTTTTTGAGTACAGTTTTGTCCTTGAATTCAAATGTGAGTCAACTGAAAGAAATATTAACTGGAAACATTTTGGAATAATGCTAACACAACACAACTTCAAGACTAATAGAATTCATTTGATACTGAGTCACATACGACTGGTGCCTTTTATATTGTTAAAAGAGCTTCCGTGCTATAAGTGGAATTTTTCAAAGCTTCACTTGATTGGATGAGTAGCCAAGATTATAAGGACAGCTTTTGTCCTTTAGTAGTTTTTTTTAATATTTTGTTGCGCATTTCCCTATTTTAAAGAAGACTTTTTACTCTGTAACTATAAAAGATAAAAGAAAGGCACCAGTTCTAGTCCCAGTTGCCACTCTTCCAATCCAGCTCTCTGCTGTGGCCTGGGAAAGCAGTAGAAGATGGCTGAAGTGCTTGGGTCCCTGCACCCACATGGGAGACCAGGAAGAAGCATCTGCCTCCTGGCTTCGGATCGGCGCAGCTCTGGCCTTTGTGGCCATTTGGGGAGTGAACCAACAGAAGGAAGACCTTTCTCTCTGTCTCTCTCACTGTTTGTAATTCTACCTGTCAAATAAATAAATAAATAAATAAATCTTTTAAAAAAGATAAAAGAAAAATATAATCTCATATCTTGATATTAATTCAAGGATATCATTATCTGATGTATTTTCACAATTTTAACCTTGAACTGACATGACTTTATTGGAGAAGACCAGAGATATTTTAGTTGGCTTCATTACTGAGAGAATGTTTGGGGCTGGCCAACGACTCATAATACTTTGAGGATGCCTTAAATAAATATTACAAGAGGATTAGATTACAGATAGAATTTTTCTCCTCAAAACTGGGATTTTACATTTCAAATTTTTCCTCATGTATCTAAATGACCCAAATAATATATTGGCTAATGGGTTGAAGTAAAGAAAGATAGCTTGGTGAACTACCAACTAACATGTAACCGCAACACCAGTAGGCATGACTCATTTGGGTATTGTAAGCATTACGTCCTGTGTGTTTTATGATAACAATGCTAGGAAAACCAACATTTGTGCAACATGTAGCCTGGTTGGTAAGTAGATTTAATTATATTTTGTGAGATTTAGTATTTGGGGTTGGTGTGGTGAATTGCAGTAGTGTATTTACAATGTATGTTAGAATAAATTTTATTACATTATGAATTTCCTATAAGTCTTTTCTTACATAATCATCTGTAATCTAAAAAAAGTTCAGAGGATGTTTTTCCATTACGAAAGCCAATTAAATTGAAAATACAAGCATAATAGAATTCTCTGAATATCATAGCCTATTTGGATGGGAGTGGCTTCTTACAGATAAACATGAGATCAAAGGGCAGAGATGAAAGTGCTTTATAGTCATAATTCTTATTTTTCTATGAATATTTAGATCCTTGATACTCAGAGTATGGTCTGAGGACTGGTAACATGGACACCTCCTAGGAGCTTGTCAGAAATGCATAATCTCAGTTCTCACACTAGATTCCAAATTAGAATTAAATAAGATCCCTAGGTAATTCACATCCATGCTAAATTTTTAGAACTGCTGATATGTAGAGCTTTTTTTCTTTAAAGGTCTTTGGAAGTAGACACACAGAATTTCACTATTTGATGATGTAATGGAATGGAGTAAGACACCCTCCTCCCTTCCTATAGGAGCAGAGTTATGAGTCCAAAAGCATGTGTATAGAACTGATGGCTCCAGTCCATATGGATAAAATAAGAGTTTTTCTTTATTACTGTGGTTACTCTTGTAACATTAGGCAAGTTTTGAAGTAGTGTGATGTCCCTTAACACCAACAGGCTAGTATTTTTTCCTTCCTTCCTTCCTTCCTTCCTTCCTTCCTTCCTTCCTTCCTTCCTTCCTTCCTTCCTATATTTCTTTCTATCTTTTCTTTCTTTCTTTTTTTTTGGGGGGGGGGGCCCGGGAGCAGGGTCAAGTTTGTGGTAATAAAATAAACTTGTTTTCTCATGGTAGATTGCATTGTGCTATTTCTGGTAAACAGCAATTTTTCCTTTGACAAGATGTGTTTGCTTCCTAGGTAATTAACAAGAAAATTAACTTCATTAATCCACATTCAAGAGATTGAAGTGGATTTATGCATTCTACTTTAGGCATAGAACTTATTCCTATAACTTTTTTGGGGGTGACAACAACTTCGAGGGCTGGCTGCATCTTGGGTTCTTGGGAATTATGGAATTGTACTCAAAGGGAATATGAAATTCTCCAATTTTTGTGACAAGTTAAGAGTTTTCTCAGGTATTGAATAGAGAAACAAGGAGCCAGCATTCGACAAATAGGAATTGATTTTGAATTTGAAATTTGAAGTATAAGAACTTAAAGCTAGCATTGTGAGGGCAGTTTGAAGGAATAAAGAAAGGAGAGAAGTCCCAAATGAGAACATTCAAAAGAGTTTTCTACTAGTTAATGGTTTTTGACTTTTGTTAGAATTGCCTGGGAAGCTTTTAAAATTTCTAATTTTTAGATTGCCCCCAGATCAATTACATTAGAATCTCTGATAGGACTTATATATCAGACTTTTTTTTATTTGTTTGTTTGTTGTTTTAAATTTCTAGGTCATTTGATTTTGTAACTAAGATTCAGAATCATGGAAAATCCAAGTTTGTGAAGTTCCCTGCCCTTATGTGTTTCATGTAGGCAGAAAGTGTTATAACATCTTGATCATTTGAAGAAAGACTAAGGAATAAATGAGACAAGGAGATTCTTCAGGGAATCAGTAGGCAAATCTGTGCCTGGACACCAGAGACAGAATGACCAAATTCTTTGGTAATGTTTTTCATTTCCTCTTCTCAACTTCTATAATGTAGCAAGAATACCGTGAGTTGAGTGTGGTAGCTAGCCTCCAAGGTAGCCGTCAGTGACACTTTTCTCCTAATATTCATACCCTTCAATAATTCTCTCCATGTTGAATCACTCTGGGCTGACTTGTGTGATCCATTGCATATGCTAGAAGTGATGGTGTGGGACATTCAAGTCTAGGTTGTAAAAGGTATTACAACTTTTAATATCTTGGATCACTAGTTCTACCAGAAGTCAGTCACTACTGGTGTGATAACACTCAAGAAGTCTTATGGAGGGAGAACAATTTGCCAGCCATTTCAGTAAGGCACTTTTGAAATGAATCATCTAGCACAATGAATTTGTTCAGATGACTGTAGCCCCTGCGAATATCTAATTACCACCTTATGAGCGATCATAAGCCAGAACTATTCTATTTAGCTCATCCTGAATTCCTGGCCCACAGAGCACATGAAATACTGATTAATGTTTTTAAGCTAATCAAATTTGGAATGATTTGTTACACACAGTAAATAATTAATACAGCAGGGCTTATTCAAATTCTGACTACCTCATGAAGCCATATTTATAGGTCACTTCTCCTGCATGAAAACAGAGCGAATATTTAAACAAAAACTTACTTTTAACTCTATTTTAAATTATGTTGGCTACTCTTTTAACCAACTACTTAAGAATATGGCAAAAATTATTGTGTAATTAAACCTGTAGCCTTTCAACAAGTCTTTTTTTTTAAAGATTTATTTATTTATTAAAAGTTAATTACACACAGAGAGAATGAGAGAGAGAGAGAGAGAGAGAGAGTCTTCCATCCACTGGTTCACTCCCCAATTGGCCACAAATGGCTAGAACTGCACCTATCCAAGCCAGGAGTCAGGAGCTTCTTCTGGGTCTCCCATGTAGGTGCAGGGACCCAAGGATTTGGGCCATCTTCTACTGCTTTCCCAGGCCATAGCAGAAAGCTAGATGGGAAGTGGAGCAGTCAGGATTCAAACCAGTGTCCTTATGGGATGCGGGCACTGCATGTGGCAGTTTTACCTGCTGCGCCACAGCACTGGCCTCTCAACAAGTCTTAACAAGTAACTGAATAGTATTTGACCTATAGAATAACAACATTCAGTAGAACTTTCTGCAATTATGGAAATTTGTGTGTATCTGTTGCACAGCATAGTAGTCACTAACTACTATTGAGTCTTGAAATCAAGGTAGTGCAATTGAGGGATTGAATTTTTAATTATATTTAATTTAAATCATGACTATCAGCTTGACAAAACAGTTCCATACAGTTCCTGGGATGAATGCAGAGATGATTTAAAATTCTGCCCTAGTTTGTAAATTGTGAATTGAGAATAAGTGGAAAATTCAGCAATGGGGACAGTTTATCTATGGTACAGTCAATAAAAAATTAAATCCCATTTAAAAAGTTTTATTGATTTATTTTACTTATTTGAGAGAAGTGTGTGTGTGTGTGTGTGTGTAAGAGAGAGAGACAGACTGAAAGGGGGAGAGAGAGAGAGGAAGGAAAGAAAAATGAAAGGGAGACAGACAGATCTTCGATCTGCTGGTTCACTGTCCAAATGCCTGCAACAGCCAGGGCAAGGTCAGGCTGAAGTTAGTGAACCCATCTTTCACGAGGTGGGGCAGGACCCAAAAGCTTGTGCTATCACTTGCTACTTCCTTGGAAGCTGGATTCAATAGTGGAGCCAGGACTCATATGGTATGTGGGCATCCCAAGCACAATTTTAACAGGCCAATTGCCTGCCTCAAAATACATCTTATTTTATAACCAAATATTTGTGCCTTGGATGGAAAAGATGAGAAACCATAAAGAAACTTATCATAAAAGATGGTGTAGATTCAAGGTATAACAGAATTAAGAATCTAACAATAAAAGTTGTTTTGGAATTTGAGAGGAATTTTGAGTCACTGCCAAGAACAATTATTTGTATCATACATGCTGAGCTACTCTCCAGCTACTGTATTATTTCTATCTCTGAATATTGTCATGTATGTACACACTAGAACATATGTTTAGGAAGAGTTCTACACAATTTACCACCAACATAACTGATTTATAATGTCTATTACCTGATGATTATGCTGTTATTTATGATAGTGTGATGATGATTAAATATATTTAAATCAAGCTAATTTATTAAGTTTACTTAGTCTCTGGTGTTTACTTAATTGTTTATTTATTTTTTTATCTAATCAAAGCAAGTAGTCAAGTTAGAGGACCAGAAATTCCTGACTCCCTTTTTACCTAACTCTTCCTTATTCAAAATTTTTAGATACTGTACATGGAAAACTGTGGGGAGACTTAAGTATTATAACCTGAATTTTATTTAAAATGCACACTAAATAGTGATACTGTATGGTCATCAAATCATATTTTAATAGGAAAAATGAAAGCACTTACTGTTAAATTTAACTTTGGTGGTTGGGTGCCTTTTGATAAAGATATTTGTGGCCATATAGACATCAATGAATACCACTTTTGAATGAATCTACTTTCTTATTTTGAATCTGTTTATACTATGAAGCTGAGTTCAGTTTGGTCTAGAGCTTCACCTTACATACACTGTTTGTTTTAAAAGTTTATCCTTACATAGTAAACTAAAACCTAACGTATTGTATAAATAGATTATCATCTACCATTGTAATAGGTAATTGAATCTAAGTCAATCATATGACTCTAATTGGTCAAAAAACATTTAAATAAGACAGATGTGAACTGCAACCAAGCAGGCTGTCTCTGCCTCACTTCCATTTTCTATATGTCACTTCCTTTTCTCTAGTTATAAATCTAACCTGCGCCTATTGTGGGGCAGAGTGGCCTTGAACCTATTCTGGTTCTGTGGCTTTCAGTTGGGTAAATTGTTTATTGCCCAGTTAAACTGTTGAATTTAATATGTCTAAAATTTTTCACTTAACAATATTAATCACTAAACTTTTCTGCTTATTATTACAAAAATAGTATGAGATTAATTTGAGAAAAAAAATCAAACAAGTAGAAAAAAATTCACCAACAACCTATTCCTTATGATGATCCAAGTTGTGTTTACACCACACATTTTCATAGAAATGTTTTCTGAACTATGTTTATACATACACACACAGTTTATAAAATGAGTTCATATCCTATATACTTGCTTAAAGTTTTCATTTAAAAAATCCAACAGTCATTTTGTGCCACTAAATATACAATAGTTATTTTATTTAATGCTAAATACTGAAATAATGTTTAATAATTACCATGTTTTTGAGAGTATTTAATATATATTTGTGTATATATTAATATTATAATTCCAAAATGTGCATTCTAGAAACATGTCTTATACTTTTTCAACAAATCATAATTCTACCAAAATGGGGAAAATAATAACTCAAAACAATGAGAACCTCTTTTTGTTTGAGACAAGAGTCAGATGTACACAGATATTCCATCTAAGGATGTGGACTTGCTGCAGAGAACTTAGTCTTTCCCTGAGTACTGAAGGAGAGAGCATCACATTGTTTGGAAAATGTTTGAAATGTGAAGTCACTGAAACATATGTTACTCCACCAATCTCTCAGGGTCTACCAGAATGATTTTTCTTTTAATTCTGAAGTTTTAAGGGTTCAGTATAGAGTGTTTGGGATGGAAGAGTTAAAAATCTTCATTCTTCCTTTGCCTATCTTAATACCTCTGCTTCTTCCTGGTCTTTCCTGCCCTATTCTAAAATGAACTGTTTTCATCTGAATTCTCCTGGGGGAACCCAAACATATAGTTTTGAAAGAGTGTTTGACATAAGAATAAGAGCAATTAAGGCATTTTTTGGAAACACATTGATAAGTGATGAAGAGAAAAGGAAACTATTTTGTACCACTTAACTTCATTAAAACGCATTTTTTTCTAACTGGAACAAGTAGACTAAATACTTTGAGGAAATGTTGAGTAATTGAGTGACTTTGAGGCCTTAGGCATACATTGACTAAATATTTTTTCCTCATTCCACCCACATGTCTCTATGCTAGGGTTACATTATATCTTGGGATCCATTTTAGGCACTGTGGATGGGCACTGTACTAATAAATATTGATGAAGTCTACACTCATAAGCAAGGGGTAGGTAGAAAACTACAGATAAAGTGAACAATTAATGAACTTTGTAGGATGATGTATGGTATCTACTGTGAGACAGTTACACTCTAGTTGTTTTTTTTTTTTTTTTTTTTTTGACAGGCAGAGTGGACAGTGAGAGAGAGACAGAGAGAAAGGAGAAGGTCTTCCTTTTGCCGTTGGTTCACCCTCCAATGGCCGCCACGGCCGGCGCGCTGCGGCCGGCGCACCGTGCTGATCTGATGGCAGGAGCCAGGAGCCAGGTGCTTATCCTGGTCTCCCATGGGGTGCAGGGCCCAAGCACTTGGGCCATCCTCCACTGCACTCCCTGGCCACAGCAGAGAGCTGGCCTGGAAGAGGGGCAACCGGGACAGAATCCGGCGCCCCGACCGGGACTAGAACCCGGTGTGCCGGCGCCGCAAGGCGGAGGATTAGCCTAGTGAGCCGCGGCGCCGGCCACACTCTAGTTTTTAAGGAATATCAGAGAATAAAATTTCTGATAAACATCTGAACTATGAAATTTTTGTATTAGCCTTCAAACATGATGATAAGACATTTCATGGGATAATTGACTTTAATTTTTTAGTATAATACAATCTTGTACAATGGATTATCATGTATATAATTTATAAACCTTTGGTGATGATGTTGATCAGCTCTACAAGTTAGTATACCTTAATTCAAGATAAATCTTGTGAAATATATATGATTATGCAGTTGTTGGAATCTCTGGAGAATAGAAAACTCAGTGGGTAAAATTCATTTCAATTATTTGAATGCCTCTGGCAATTATTTTTGCAAGGACACCATAGTTAGATGGTGAATTAAATGAGAGCTGTTGAGATTTATTGCATATCTGTTATGCATTGGTAAATGGCTCTCATTTTTGAATGTAGTTTAAGTAGGCTATCTTATTTTCCTTTTTGGCTCAGTGTTTCTGCTGATAATTTTGATAGAGTGTTATAAATGAGATGCATAGGTTGGATATAGAGCTACAACTATAAGGGACAGGCCCAAGAATAAAGGTGATGTCAACTGACAGGCACATCAGGGCAAACAATGAAATGAGAGTAAGCAGAGACAAGTTTTGAGTTCTGTTTAGGCTCAGAAAGTCAGCTGCATGAGAGTGAGTTGGCTTGGCTACAGTACAGATGGCAAAGTTCTGGGATTTCTATCTGATGACAACCATAACATAGGCCAATGATATGATGTGGCTGTTAGAAAAATAGACTAACACAATCTTAGGCTGCCCTAATGAAATACTGTGCCTAGCACAGTAGGAGCAATAGAAAAAACAATTTCCCCAAATTCTGTTTTACTGAGATGATTTATGAAATAAAGTGTCAAACACCTTGCATTATGTTTTAAGACTTTCTTTATTGGTGCATATTCAGGAGAAGGCACAGTATTCAAAAATCATATCTTTTGAGACAAAACTGAAAATAAAGGGTATGAGGTTTTCCTGTAGGAGAAAAGACCAAGGAGATATCTGTAGAGTTCCTTTGTCCATGTGGCAAAATTTTATGTTTAATAAGCCAAAGAAGATCAATATAGAGTATCAACTTGAGGCTAGAAAGATGAAGATTTTTCTCTAATATAAAAAAAAAGTGTTACTCAAAACACAGCTAACATGTGAAGGTGGAATCCCTTATACCAAAGTCATATAATCCCAAAGATTCATCTTAGAGTGGGGACTTGATCAGAAGGTAATCAGTTATCTCTAATCGCATAAATGTATCCCCAAATTTACAGGGTTAAACGATGATTTTATTTTAATTACCCATTTCTGAATCAGGGATTTAGAATTTGTCTGTGTAATTCTCACTTGAGATGTCTCATGTGGTTGCAATTATATACCAACTGAAGCCGCAACCATATGAAGAGTTTATTGGGTTGGATGTCAAAGGTGATTCTCTCACCACGTAGGTGGGTTTTGCTAAATAATTGGTTTAGAGTTCAGCTCAAGCAGTCAAGAAGAGGAAGTACATGGGACCTCTTTCTGTGTCCTCCACTTCCTTTACTTTTAAAATTTATTTTTTATTTATTTGAAAGACAGTTGCAGAGAGAGGAGGAAGAGAGAGAGAGAGAGATAGAGAGAGATTGATCTTCCATCTGCTGGTTCACTTCCCAAATACCCACAATGGCTGGGGCTGGACCGAAGCCAGGAGCCTAGAGCTACTTCCAGGTCTCTCTCTTGGGCACAAAACCCCAAGCACTTGTGCCACGTTCTGTTGCTTTCCCAGGCATATTAATATAGAGCTGGATAAGAACTTGAGCAGCTAGGTCTCAAACCAGCACCCATTTGGATGCTGGCATCACAGGCAGAGACAACCTGCTATGCAACAATGACAGACCCCTCCACTTCCTTACACCATGATTGTTTCAGGGTAGTAGGGCTTCTTAACATGGTGACTCAAGTTTATAAATGCAACTGTACCTCTGCACAGAGACTAGAAGTATTAGCCCTATGATGTAATGTTAGGTATATATGACATCACTTTTCCTGAATTATAGCATTTGCAAGTGAGTCAGAAACCCATATACATACATGAAAGGGAGACATGGATCTACATTTGATGGAAGCAATGTCCAAAATTTGCAAATATTTAATTAAACAGTCACAAATTACCTCTTAATTAAATTGAAACTGGAAGTCTCTAATTTTATGAAATTTATTTAGTGATGATAAGATTTTCAAAGGTGATAGGGAATTTTGATACCTTCTAAAATTTGAGATTGCTATCAGGCACTTCTTCAAATCATTCATGAGTATTATCACACAAAGCAATTTTAGTTTGCTTTAACACAGAAGCATATTGGATATTATGTAAAATACACAGCTACAATTTTGAGTTCTCCTAAGTAATTCGCTGGAAATTATGACTTTAAATATATAAAATACTTTTAAAGCAATTTGATAAATTGGGAAAGTTTAGCAGGTTTACATCAGTGGGGAAGCCATGATGAGAAAGGCATGCAAATGAGGTCAGACAATGTGGAGCTTCTACACTTGTCTTGTTGGGTAGAAATATCTATTGGATTTTTTTAAATGAATGTGTTAACTGTGTGGTGACAGATAAACTGGAAGTGCTGTTCCTTATAGGCATATGTAGTTAATGCTCATCGGGATAAAGGCATAACCCTTAGTGGAATCTCAAATCAAATAACTACTCAAGGCAGTGTATATGTGCTGGTTTCCATTACTTAGTATCTAGTTAATTCCTAAGCACCTTGATTCAGATTGAACTATGGCTCATATTTGCCCACTGGTGTTTGGAGAACCCTTTGGGTTCCCCTGGTATCTGATTTGGAATGTATCTCAAATCTACTTCTGCTGCTATAACTGCTATAACTAGATTTAGCATGCTCTCCCTCTCCTATTTTTTTTTTGTGGACTTCATCTTGACAGGCAGAGTGGACAGTGAGAGAGAGAGACAGAGAGAAAGGTTTTCCTTTTCCGTTGGTTCACCCCCAATGGCCGCTGTGGCAGGCGCGCTGAGGCCGGCGCACCTCACTGATCTGAAGCCAGGAGCCAGGTGCTTCCTCCTGGTCTCCCATGTGGGGGCCATCCTCCACTGCACTCCCAGGCCACAGCAAAGAGCTGGACTGGAAGAGGAGCAACTGGGACAGAATCTGGCACCCCAACCGGGACTAGAACCCAGTCTGCCGGCGCCACAGGCGGAGGATTAGCCTATTGAGCCGCAGCGCCGGCCGCATTGTTTCTACTTCTTAAATGGTTTCTGCCCTATGACTCAGATTTGTCAATGGTGTCTCTAGAAGAATCTGATCTATTCATCCTTACTACATTGCTAAGATCTACTTGGTGTAAATTACCCTTCTGAAAGCTTAGTAGTTTCCCATAGTTTTTTCCCCCTCACTTGTGAGGTTTATATTTTTGTAGTCTCTAAGCAACCAAATATTTGATGGAGCTAATCAGATTTTAATCTTTCCTTGACATTTCCCCATGTTCTTTTTCTCTGTCTTACGAGGAAAGAAAATAGAAATGGTAATTTAAGAATTACCTTTTCCGCCATTTATTTTCCCCATGACTCGGTCTTTCATTATCTCCTTTCACATTGATTAGTGCTTTTTTGGAAATAATTGACGATTATTACCCAAAATTCCTGGCTACCATTTACTGCTTGTAGGACTAAGTCAACATCTGCTTGTACCTCCCAAAGAGGAATAAGAAAGTATTTTCAAAGGTCTTGCTTAAAAATGTGATGTCAGTTGTCTACTAAGTAGTCTTTACAATTTCACTTTTTGACCTTAATTTGGTTTCAAATCCCTTTTCCACTCATTAAACCAAAATGAGAGACCTAGGAGAAGAAGCCCAAGCTATAAATTGACGTGAAAAATAAAGATAAGAAGAAGAAATTATTATTATTTTTTTTTTGAGATTTATTTGAAAGAGTTACAGAAAGAGGCAGAGACAAAGAGAGTCTTCCATCTGCTGGTTCACTTCCCAGATGGCACTGATCCAAAGCCAGGAGCCAGGAACTTCTTCCAGGTCTCCCACATGGGTGCAGGGGCCCAAGGACTTGGTGCATCTTCTACTGCTTTTCCAGGCCATAACAGAGAGCAGGATCAGAAGGAAAGCAGCCGGGACTAGAACCGGCACCCTTATGGGATGCTGGTGCTTCAGGCCAGCGCTTTAACCTGCTGCACCACAGCGCTGGCCCCTATTTTTCATTGTTAAGCACTAGCTCCATTGGAATTGCCCCTTGGTATCCAAAGTGCTGCAAAAAGTCATGAGAGTGAAAATGGCTGCAAGCAATGTCCTCACAGATGGGAATCTCGAAATAGTGACGTGGGTAAAGGAGGTGTAACCTTTCAGATTGAATAGTAATCTTTTTCTTTAACCTTTTTTCCTCTTTAAAGAGCTCATTTAGAACAAAGCTAACAATTCTCGCAAGAGCAAATCCATCCCTTCACCAACAATCTTTTCTGTGAATGATTTCCACCCCATGAGGATTTTAAACTTTTTTTTGGGCCTTTCATCCAAAGCCTAGTTCTTGGTAACCCAATTGTGTCAGATGTATCAACCCATCCAGGTATAAGCTCAGAATTCAAGCCAACATTTGGCCAATGTCTGCAAAGTCTGGTCAAATAGAATATTTTTTTTGGAAGCAGAAACAGAGATGAAATATGTTTTCAGTTTTTTGTACCAAATGTTTTCTTTAACAATCAGAAAATTCAGTGCTGTAAAATGCCCAGTGATGGAGAAAGAAAAATAAGGCAGTCCGTTCTTCAGCCATGTATATACTTTTACTGTGGCATCACTGACTGATACACATGTTGTGTTCTTCTTGACTGATCACTGGCAGTTATCCTCATTCTATCACCACAGCCAAAAGGATGTCAAAGTGAGAATGAAGAGCAGATTCTTGGGAGATCATCACTGCTTGATAATTTGGGAACACGTGACTGTATTTTAGCATTGCTAAGTAAAGAATGTTTGCCTACATTAGACAGGTTAGAGCCTGTCATTTCATTGTTCTATCACAGAAGGTTACAGATCCAGAACCTGAGTTGTAGGGCTGCCTATAGCAACAGGTAATCTTTTGAAGAGAACAATGCTAAACCTCCTCTTCCTAGAAATAATGTCTGAACTCATGGCAACGTGATGATCATTTTCAGAACATTCAGATGAATTAAAACAACAATAGAAACAAAAAATTGTTAATAGCTTTTACTTATTTTAAAAGAGATTATAGTAAACGCAATCATGTTTTCCAATGAAATGAGAGGAAGAAGGTATTTATTTTCCAATGGTGGTAAATAATTTTCTAACCAATTAAAAACAATTGCTGGGCCAGTTGTTTGGCCTAGTATTTAAGACATTAGTTAAGATGCCCATATTAGGATACCTGGGTTTAATGTCTGACTCCAGTGCTTGACCCAGCTTCCTGCTAATGTGTACTCTGAAAGACAACGTGAGGACTCACGTGAAGAATCGTCACCATGCTCAAGGGAGACCTGGATTGGGTTTCCAGATCCCAGGTTTGACCTGACCCTGTCCTGTCCATAGGAGACATTTGGGGAATTAAACAACAGATAGGAGCTCTCGTTCCTTGTCTATCTGCCTCTGAAGTAAACAAGCATAAATTTTAAAAATTAAAATAAAAAAATTCTCATGTGCAGGAAATTAGCACATGAGTGAAGCACACATAATAATAAAAAGCAACAAAAATAAAAGTAAAAGTAAATCATGATCATAGATTAAATAACTACTGATAAAATGTGTCTATAAATATATTTACTTTTAGGAGTTTTATGCACATATACAGTATATGTGGTCCTTAAAATTAGGTACATCTCATTTTGTACTGTATCTTACACACACTTTTATACTTGATCTATTTTTCATATCACTTCTGTTTTCTCAACACATTGTTCCTTAGATTGCCTATTAAGTCATTATAAAGATTCAGTGAATCTTCTGAGCAAGAACCTACTGTTGATTATTTAGGGTTTGCTTCCATCTAAAAAACGAATAAGCATTACTCTGGTAAACAACTATGCAGATTAAACTTTATGGAAATATGGGGTTCCTACAAGTGTGAAGGCTTCAGTGATACCTGATCATCCATATGCCAAAGGCAGGTTTTCTCACACTGGGTCATATTCCCCTCATTCGCTCAGCTCCAGCCACACTTGTCATGTGAATGGTTAATTCATTAAAAATTTATCTGACTATGTTCCAGAGTGAGATGAACAAGAGGCAGAGCCAACTGGAGCAATGTCAGCTCACGATGTTTATGAAATGTGAGTGAGAAATAAGTCTTTGATGGTTTCAGCAACTGAAAATACAGGATTATTTGTGACTGCAGCATTGCATTGCCTATACTAACTGACACCCTCGTCTTTAAAAGATTTATTATTATAAAAGGTAGAACAACAGAGAGAGAGAGAGAGAGAGAGACAAGGAGAGAGAGAAAAAAACCCTTCCATCTTTTGATTCATTCCTCAAATGACCTCAACAGCCAGGGCAATATTCACATTCTTTGCTCAGCTGGACCTGGGTTTCTCTGACTTGTCTTTGGAAGGGCAGTGAATCTTGTAAAACATTGGAGAAATTCAGTTGTGTTATGCCCTGTTGACCTCTTTGGATCTCTGTCCCTCACTGACCTTTGACAGAACGTCCTCAGAGTGCCAAGACCACTGACCTTAAAATCTATCCATAAGCTAGTAATGAGGTAATATTTTATCACTATTCCACTAGTTTTCCTTCTGCTTTCTCTTTAGGAATTCCATGAGGAGGTCCAGGTGACTGACAACACAGTTCTTGACATTCTATAGTTCATGGCTGTGAAAGTATCATAAAGCACAAAGTCCTTAGAACTGAGATACAATTTTTTTTTTATCTGTGGATTAAATAAATTAGCCCATCTTAGCCATGTAAGGAAAAACCAAAACCATAGACATATTAACCTAATCTCTACCATGGAAGTTATTATAAGGTACATTTTGAGTTACAAGTGGGAACTTAAAGTTTGTGGAAATGAAAATAAGATCTGTTTATTTGCGTCCAAACCTTTTGAAATCTTTGCATAATTTTTTCATAGTACACATTTTTTCATGAACTTTTTAATCTGTTTCTATTCTTGGAACAATAGAATTTGAATTGTGAGTAAATTCCTTCCACATAAACACATTTATCCATGCTCTGTTCTTCCTACTACTTTTCGAATTGCATTCTTTCTGTTTGCAAGGGTGCCTTCTATAAAATTCATAAAAAAATTAATTTCTTTTAGGGGGTTACATCTTTAGTTCTGTAATAGAAATCTTGTTTTCTTTGGATTTGTAACAAATGTTAATTTCAGGTGCATTGTTTCTTAGTGAACATGCCATTTTTTTGTTTCTTTTTGGTCATGAAATGTATACACACACTTCCCTAACTTGATCCTAACATCTACCTGAAAATCCCACTGGAAGGCTTTTGAACATGCTCATCCTCATCACTGTCTTGCTCTCCAGGCAAAAGGAAACCATTTCTTTTGCCTGAACCCTGTGATGTTTTTCCTTAAGAATTTGGTTTTGTTCAACCGATTTCCCTATTTCAATGAAATAAACTAAATTTCCAGACTTAGACTGCACAACCTGTAATAGAGAAATGCTGAAGGAATTATTAGTGAGTATCTTATATGTTGTACATTGTTTCAAAAAGTAGACCCCTGCTGAGAGGACCAATACCAGTGCCCACCAGCCTCACTTTGCTGTGTTGGTGTGGGGGTGAGTTTGCCTGCCTTGTCTTCATCATCATATCCTTTGCTTCATGTGGGCCTGGCCCACGATATATTACTGTTTTATATACCACACACGTGTGCCACAGATGG